ATAGGTCTTTTACTTCCTTGGTTAGGTTTATTCCTAGGTATTTCATTCTTTTTGATGCAATTGTGAATGGAATTGTTTTCCTGATTTCTCTTTCTGCTAGTTCATCATTAGTGTATAGGAATGCAACAGATTCCTGTGTATTAATTTTGTATTCTGCAACTTTGCTGAATTCAAATATTAGATCTAGTAGTTTTGGAGTGGATTCTTTAGGGTTTTTTATGTATAGTGTCATGTCATCTGCAAACCATGACAGTTTAACTTCTTCCTTTCCAATCTGAATGCCTTTTATTTCTTTGTGTTGTCTGATTGCTGAGGGTAGGACCTCCAGAATTATTTTGAATAAAAGTGGGGAGAGTGGGCATCCTTGTCTTGTTCCCAATCTTAGGGGAAATGCTTTCAGCTTCTCGCTGATGTTGGCTGTGGGTTTGTCATATATGTTGAGGTACTTGCCCTCTATACCCATTTTGTTCAGAGTTTTTATCATGAATGGATGTTGAATTTTGTTGAATGCTTTTTGAGCATCTATGGACATGATCATATGGTTTTTGTCCTTTTTGTTGATGTGGTGGATGATATTGATGGATTTTCAAATGTTGTACCATCCTTGCATCCCTGGAATTAATCCTGCTTGATCATGGTGTATGATCTTCTTGATGTATTTTTTAATTTGGTTTGCTAATATTTTGTTGAGTATTTTTGTATCTACGTTCATCAGGGATATTGTTCTGTAGTTTTCTTTTTTTATGGTGTCTTTGCCTGCTTTTAGTATTAGAGTGATGCTGACTTCATAAAATGAGTTTGGAAGTATTCCCTCTTGTTCTATTTTTTGGAAAACTTTAATGAGAATGGCTATTATATCTTCCTTAAATGTCTGATAAAGTTCAGTGGTGAATCCATCTGGCCCGGGGTTGTGTTCTTGGGTAGTTTTTTTATTACCAGTTCAATTTCTTTGCTGTAATTGGTCTATTCAGATTTTCTGTTTCTTCCTGGGTCAGCCTTGGAAGGTTGTAGTTTTCTAGAAAGTCATCCATTTCTTCTAGGTTATTCATTTTATTAAGATATTGTTTTTCACAGGATTCTCTAATAATTCTTTTTTTTTGGTGTCCGTTTTAATTTTTCCTTTTTCATTTCTGATTCTGTTTATGTGTGTAGATTCTCTTTTTTTCTTAATGAGTCTGTCTAGGTGTTTATCTGTTTTGTTTATTTTCTGAAAGAACCAGCTCTTAGTTTTATTAATTTTTTCTATTGTGTTATTCTTCCCAATTTTATTTATTTCTTCTCTGATCTTTATTATGTCCCTCCTTCTGCTGACATTGGGCCTCATTTGTTCTTCTTTTTCCAGTTTCAATAATTGTGAATTTAGACTATTCATTTGGGATTGTTCTTCCTTCTTTAAATATGCCTGGATTGCTATATACTTTCCTCTTAGACCTACCTTCACTGCATTCCACAGAAGTTGGGGCGTTGTGCTGTTTTTTTCAGTTGTCTCCATATGTTGCTTAATCTCTGTTTTAATTTGTTCATTGATCCAGTGATTATTTACAAGCATGTTGTTAAGCCTCCATGTGTTTGTGGGCTTTTTCATTTTATAGTTTCTCAAAGAAACTATAAATAAACTATATTTATTTGTAGTTTCATATACCTTTTTGGTCTGAAAAGCTAGTTGGTACCATTTCAATCTTTTTAAATGTACTGAGGCTCTTTTTGTGGCCTAGTATATGATCTATACTGGTATATGTTCCATGTGCACTTGAGAAGAATGTGTATCCTGCTGCTTTTGGGTGGAGTGTTCTGTAGCTGTCCATTAGGTCCATCTGTTCTAATGTATTGTTCAATGCCTCTGTGTCCTTACTTATTTTCTGTCTGGTTGATCTGTCCTTTGGAGTGAATGGTGTTTTGAAGTCTCCTAAAATGAATGCATTGCATTCTCTTTCCCCCTTTAATTCTGTTAATATTTGTTTCACATATGTAGGTGCTCCTGTATTGTGTGCATAGATATTTATTGTTGGACTGACCCTTATATCATTATGTAATGTCTTTCTTTGTCTCTTGATACTTCCATTACTCATGATTTTTAACTTCATCACTTAATGTAGTATCTGTCAGGTTTCTTCACTCTGAAATTACCATTTTCCTTCTGTAATCAACTATTTTGTGGAAAGTACTGTGAAACCATTGTACATATCCTATCTTCATCTAACTTTAATTTGTTTTTGTCTGTGTAGAGTCATGCTTTTCCTATTTTATTCAGTCATTACCTTTTGTTTCTATTATTTTTTGTTTTGATACTCGAATTACCCCAGGTTTAGTCAATGGAATCCCTTTCTAGTGTGCTTCAAATGACATTTTGACATATCACTCTCACTCTTTGAGCACTTACTTGCTTTCTGGCATAAGGTGTTCCATGCTCTTATACTTTCCCTGCCAGTCCTGGAATCAGGCATTTCTCCTGGGTCTCCTGGTCTTTTTTTATTAGACAGTAGTATTTAGACACCAGGATATACGTGCTAGGTGCACTCACTGCTTTTGAGATTTGAATCTCCTAGTCCCTCTGAGTGGACAGAGCTAGATAATACATATTCATACCAGCACACCTCCCAGTTGCAGTCCAACACAACAGGGCTCATTCTGGATTTCTCCCTTTCCATATTTGTAACTCCTTTATCTAACTGTGGAATTCTTTGACCTGCCCTCTCCATGTCTGATCAGTTTCCTTGCCATTGCTGTCCTTTCTCTTATGTGGATGCCTGATTCGCATGGCTGTGCTTCCGCACCCTGTGCTGGGCCCCCTCACCACAGGAAGTTGTGCACAGGCCCAGGTTTCCATGCTCTGCTTGTGGCTACCTGTACCGCCCCCAGCCCACTGTGCAGGTGCCTTCTGTACTCCTCCTGATCTTTATATCCCTTTGCTGCACCCCCTTCCCACCCCTGCATGGAAAGCCCATTCACCCCACCAGTCTCTCTGGGGGATGCTCTTCTTACCGTGCCAGGGCTCTGACTTCCCATGGCCAGCTGCCCCACAAATGCACAGCTCCTCACCCTGCGTGGGGATGTCCACCTCAGTTCACACAGGCTTGGACTTTCTGTGCCAGGCTGTCACACATGTGGTCACACTCTTTACCCTACTCTCCTTTTAGGCCTTCCCTCTGCATAGATACCCTCTTTACCCTGCTCATGCTCAGGCTTTGTCGTGCCAGGCTACCTCTGTGTGGATGCCCTCCTCACTCCTCGCAGGCTCTGCACCCTGCTTCAGGTCACCACAGGTCCCCTTGCCCTAACGCAATTGACTGCCTTGCTCTGCTCCACTTAATAACTTCAGGACTAAATTGTTCAAGAAAGGGAAAGAAAGGGGTGCTAAGAATTTTTTAATATAATAGCTACTGAGTTTTTACAAATGCTTTTTTATATCATGATTTTTACCTTTATCCTGTTATTGTGATGAGTTACACTGATTGATTTTTGAATGTTACAGCAATCTTGCATTCTTGGAATAGACTCAACTTGGAATAGACTCAACCAAAGATATATTGGTTATCTTTTTATATATTGCTGGATTTGGATTTCTTGTATTTTATTTGGGATTGTTGCATCTATGAGCAAGAGTGAAATTTACCTATAATCATCATCTTCCTTTTCCTATTCCTCTTCCTCCTCCTCCTCTGCCCTCAGAGAAAAAGTGTCCCCAAATGCTGGCCTTATCTCTCTAAGATTCCATCTTCCCCCAGTGTATAGCCTGGAAAATGTTTTCTATCTGGTTATCCCTCTGTACCTTCAAGCTGATTTCTTTTATGTTTTGTCCAGGTTTTTCTTATAGTCTTTAGTGGAAGGATTAGTTTATATTATTGAATTTGTCATTGCCAAAAGTAGAAGGTGTCCATCCTTAGTTACATTTTTAAAACGGTTTTATAATGGAGAATTTTGAACATACACAAAAATAGTCAGAATAGTACCCCCATGTATCCATTAACCTATAATAAAAACCCTTATACCTTGGCCAGTTCTGCTCTATTGACATTCCTATCCACTTTCCCCCATCCTATGTTATTTTGAGGCAAATTCCAGATGTCACATCAATGCATCTATAAATATTTTAGTATGTAGTCCTGAAGTATTTTAGTATGTACTCTAAAAGGTAAGGAATTAAAAAAAAATACCCACCAAACTATTATAACATCTAAATAATAAACACAGTAATTCTGTAATATAAAAAAATCCAGTCAATGTTCAAATTACCTTGGTGATTTTTAGTATAAATATTGTATTCAGCAGTGGGCCCATGAAGTTATTTTGTTCCTGAATCCCTAATAATGGATTCTCTAGCACAGCTGCGAAGGCCCTTTTTGACTTGATCAGTCACCAGCTCTTAAGATTTACTTTCATGACCTTCAGCTCCTCTTCGCCTATCTAAAGCCTATCCATTCTACAGTGGCTAAATTCAAGTCTCACTTCCTACATGGAGCCTGCCCTAACCACTACTCTTATCTCCTTAGCATTTATTATCTCTTCTATTCCTGTGATACTTGGCCATATTATTGTATAGTATAACTTCTCAGGATTGTAAACTGTGGGAGGATAGGGATATATGTGCTGTATGTTTTGTATGCCAAACTGAGGCTGCCATTTTGTGGAGCACGTAGTACCTGTCTACTACAGGAATTTTGTGAGGGCCAAATGAGGTAATATTTGAAAACTTTTCTTATAATCTATATAGCAAAATTGTAAGAAATTGTTACTGTTTTTTTTGTTGTTGTTAGCATAACCACTATATGAAGCATAGACTACAGTCGTCAGGGCAGAGGTCTATGTTCACAGAACCAATGACAATGACTTCTAATAAATAATATTTATTGATTTAATTTATTGTCTGAATGAATTCAGTCAAGTTCCCTATTCTTGTCTATCAAATAATAGGAAATAGGATGATGAAGTTAATGATCTACAGAAAAAGATTAAACTTTACCTAAAATTTTTTTCTTTTCTCCCCTGCATAAATCTGATAGGTTTATCTCAGCATGTAGTTACCAACTATAAGCAAGTAATTCAACTCTTGGAGGAGGGAATAGCAAACAGGTAAGAGGTTTGTTTGATCTTGTCATTCTTTCAACCTCATTCTTCTGTCCTGTGTTCTCATCCCCATTTGGAGTGCACAGTGATACTTGTCTCTGCAGTTCCCTGCATTCACAGCCATGCCTTTCTCAGAACAGTGATTTACACAGGGTAAGGGGCAGTGGCAGAGATTTAGTGTTCCTCTCACTAGTAATGAAGCTGCAGTTTGTTCTGGATAAAATACTCTTATACAGTAAGCCCTGAGAGTTGGCTCTGTGCTTTGCCTTATAAATACAACTTCTGGTATTTTGATCAAAGAAAAGATTCTTGTCTACATTGTCCTCTCCTTAGACTTGACAGAGATAAGGACCAATATAGTTTAAAATGTTTCAGAGAACCATTTTTCTTCTAGGTTTGCATATTTGTAAATGTTACCCCCAAAAGACTGTTTTGAATCTGCTGTGAATAATCTTCCTCTGTCTTAAAGGCTGCTTCTTCCACAAGCACTCTACCTCCATTTGTCTTATTTAAATGGGTATTTTTTGGGGATATTCTCCCAGGTTAATTACACTCTGGTATTTCCCTTTCAAACTCTGATTGTTGCTTGAAAAATGTTCTAATGTGGTTTAGTATGAAGCTACGCTCTTTTATTCTCAGATATCAGTACCTAGAGCACTGCTGCTGCCTTCTTTGAACCATTCTCCTAACTCTACTAGACTAAATATGGATGTTTTGTGATTCTAACCTATAAGCCTCTGTACTAACACTTATTGTATTCCCCATGGATCCTTAAAGATCCACCATGTATAAGCAATCCTGTCCTAATTTTCTTTCCTGTATACATAGAATCACCGCAGCCACCCATGTTCACGAGGCCAGCAGCAGATCCCACGCCATCTTCATGATCCACTATACACAGGTTGGTTGCCTCTTATGTTTTCTTAGATTTCTTCTTTCCTCTTTTGACTGATTTCTTGTCTTCCTATTTTTTCCCCTTTATTCCTGCCCTTCCATTTACAGGTCCTCTGATATGGCCTAATATTATAAGGAGGACCTATACATTATCTACTAAGCTGTAAACCCAGAAAGGGTAGAAGCATTTCATAAAGATTAAAAATATCTGCAAATTATATTTTATTTTTAAGATTTCAAAGCACTTTCATATCCATGTGATCATTATGGGCATTTAAAACAAGTAAGATTAAGATGAAAATAAGCATTAAAATGAAATGGTAGAAGATTCACTTCCATTATGATGGGGTGAAGAGGTTGACAGATCGTATTCCTAAAAGGCATCTATAAACCTGGACAGAAGTGTCAAAACAACCATTTCTCTGCTCTGAAAGTAGATTAAAGGCATACAATAAACTCAGAAGCATTTATTCAAGAAAATTACTGAATTGCAGGTAAGAACAGTGCAAATATAGGGTATATAGCCTTGGGCTGCTCCCTTCCCCACCCACACCCTGATCTCTGTCAGTGAGGTCAATCATTCAGAGAAGAAGGGAAGGCTGTGAAAACCAGCAGCTCTGTCACTACCACTGATAAAGGGTTTCACTTGATTTAGAGCACTGTCAGTGAAAGCAGTGATCTGGGAGGCAAGCTAACAAGTTGCTCAAAGAATATTAGCCTGAGGTTGTGGGTCTCCTTCAGGCAAAAATGAACTGACAGATTATCTAGGGATTTAACAGGAATTTCTGGGAGATGATATAGTCACAGGGAGCTTGGTAAGATCTTCACATTTACTGGGTTGAACAGAAGGTGTGCATATATACAGCAGAGACTAAGTGGGTCCAAACTACCCACATGGCCCTGGCTGGCAGAGTCTGCATATATGTGCAGAGGAGACATAAGGGGGCCTCCTAGCTAGTGAATGCTGGGGTAAACTTAAAAAATGGCCTGCATTAATGCATTTAATTAATGCATTTCCCAGCTTATACATAGATCCATCAACAGAGAACAGAAGTCTTTTAACTCCTCTAAAGGTGTTTGGCTTAAGGGGTTTGATTACAGCTTCTAAGCAGTCTTTGGCTGAACACTAAACTATGCAGACATAGGGTTGCTTCCAAAAAGCCAAGTTTAAAATTTAAAAACAAACAAAAAAGAAAAAACTGAACAGAGACCTCTTTGGCTGTGTATTTCCAGGGAGACAGATTTTTAGAGATTTACTCCAGGCAAGTTTCCAAACATACAACCACCACTACCGCTCTCAAGAGGAAAATATCAGAATCCAGAGTTGTTATGTTATCTAAAATATCTAGTATTCAACTAAAAATAACATGCAAAAGCAAACAAAGTTCTTAAGGAAAAAAAAGTCACTAGAAACCGGTTTTAAGTGCTCTAAAATATTCAATGTAGCATACAGACTTCAAAGAGGCAAATATGTTCAAAGAACTGAAGGAAAGAATTTAAGGAATTTAAATGAAGAATTTAAGGAAAACATGGTGATGATGACTAGGGAATTTCAATAAAATGATAGAAATTTTATAAAAATGGGTATTAGACTAATAGAAACCATCTGGTTTGAAGACGAGAGAGCAAAAGATCAAAGAAAAATGAACAGAACTGCATAGACCTGTGCAACATCAAATGTGTCAGTGTAAGTGTATTGGGAATCCCAGAAAGAAGAGAAAATAGGCCCAAGAAAAATTTGAAAAATAGTGGCTCCATATCCCCAAATTTATTGAAAATCTTTAATGTACAGATCTAAGAAGCTTAAGAACTCCAAGTAAAATAAACATAAACAGATCCACACCTAGACACATCATAGTCAAAAGACAAATGGAAAATCTTGAAAACAGAGAAAAGTGACTCACGTTGTACAGAAGAACAGTTATACAATTAATGGCTCACTTCTCTTCAGAAACACTGGACCCAGAAGACAGTGTGCTGAAAGGAAATAAAAGTGCTCAACCAAGAATTCTAGGAAAACTAACCTTCCAAAATTAAGATGAACTAAGAACATTCCTACATTGAAATAAAGAAAAGAAAAGAAAAAGAAAAAATCAGAATTCATCGCTAGCAAACCTACCTCACAATAAAAGTAAATGAAAACTTTCAGGCTGAAGAAAAGTGATTATCAGACAGTAACTTAAGTCTACAGGAAGAAAAGAAAAGTACTGAAAATGGTAAATATGTGGGTAGATATTTAAAAAACTACATTTTTTAGAATTAAAAAAATATTTTTAATTCTAATGTCATTAAAAGAACTATAAAATAATTATGCTGTATTGTACACATGTATATACATTGTCATATGTGACAGTAGCATAAGGGAGTGAGAAGGAAAAGGAAATATATTGGGACAAAATTTCTATATTTTATAGGAATTAGGTTAGTATTATTTCAAAATTGATCATAATAAGTTTATTATGCATATTGTGATCTGTAAAGCAACCACTAAGAAAATAAGTCAAATGTATAATTTAAAAATTGGCAGGAATTAATATGGTACACTAAAAATACTTATTTAACCAGAGAAGGCAATGAAGAAAGTACAGAGGAACAACAAAGACATGAGACATAAAAAATAAATAGAAAAAAACCCTAATTCTGAACACATCAATAATTACATCAAGTGTGAATGGACCAAGGTACAATTTGTCAGTCTGGATAAAGCAAGACCCAACTGTATACTGTCTATAAAAAATACTCCCTAGATTCAAAAATAAAAGGTTAAAAGTAAAAGGATGGAAAGAGATATGCCTTGCAAATAGTAACAGTAAGTGAGCTAGAGTACTGTATTAATGTCAGACACTAAATAGATTTTAAGACAAATGTGTACTAGAGACAGGGACATTGCATAATGATAAAAGTCTATACATCAAGAAGATACAACATTTATAAACGTATGTGCTCCCCAAAATAGAGCCCCAAAATATAAGGAAAATAGCATCAGAATAGAAAGGAGAAATAGACAATAACAATAGTTGGAAATTTTAATACCCCACTCTCAATAATTGGTAGAAGAACTAGGCAGAAATTAGCAGTGATACAGAAGATTTGGGCAAAATTATTAATCAGTGTGACCTGATATTAAAAAAAAATTCCATTTACCATCTAAAGAATATATTTTTTTAAGTGAACATAAAACATTCTCCAGGATAAACCATGTACTGCATAAAACTGAAGTCCAGTAGTTATAGGATAAATAATTTCCTGGGATGTTAGGTACAATATGATGACTAGTTAAAAGCACTGTATTGTATATTTGAAAGTTGCTAAAAGAGTAGATACTAAAAGTTATCATGAGGTAAAAAATTGTTTCTGTGTGAGATTATGGGTGTTAACTTAGCTGTGATCATTTCACAAAATATACACGTCAAATCATTATGTTGTACACCTGAAACCTAAACAATGTTAAATGTCAATTATATCTCTTTATATTATAAAACTGGAAAAAATAAATTATGGTACATTAAAAAATTTTTTAATATTAACTACCTTTAAAAAATACATCAAGCAACCACAATATGTAGGACTTTGGTTGTATTCTGATTCTAAAAAAATTATTAGTGGGAAATTTGAACATTGATTGCATATTTGATGTTCTAAGGAATTATTGTTAATGTCCTAGGTATACTGATGGTATTATGTTTTTAAAGGTCTTAATCTTTTAGAGATGCATATTGTAGTATTTTCAGATGAAATTGTATTGACTAAATTGGCTTTAAAATAATGTGGATGAGAGGAATAAATAGGGGTATAAGCAAAACAAAACTGGCCTTGAGTTGATCATTTTTGAAGCTAGGTGATGGGTACCTGGGAATTCATTATACTGTCCTGTCTTTTGTCATATACATTTAGGATTTCCCCTAATAAGGTTTCAAGGTTAAAAAAAAGAGAGAGAAAAAAGCTAACATAATCAAGATAGTGTGGCATTAAGACAGACAGATAGATCCATGGAATAGAATGGAATCCAAATTAGACCCACACGTATATAGGCAACTGATTTTTGACAAAGTCACAAAGACAATTCAGTGGAGAATGTGTAGTCTTTTCAACAAATGGTGGTAGGACAATAGGATATCCATGTGCAGCAAAACAAAACAACTTTGATCTATACCTTGTATTTTATTCAAAAATTAACTCAAACTGTGTTACAGTCAGAAATGTAAAACCATAAACTATTAAACTTGTAGAAAGTAACTTGGGAGAACCTTTGTGACCTTGGATTAGTCAGAGGTTGTTTAAGATATAGCACTAGAAACACAAATAAAACAAAAGAACAAAATGAAATTTGGAACTGGTCAAAATTCAAAACTTCCGCTCTTTGAAATATACTATGAAGAGAATAAAAAGAAAAGCCACAGATAGGGAGAAGTTATTTGTAAAACATACATCTGATGAAGGACTTGTATCCAGAATATATACAGAACTCTCTAAACTCAGCAATTACAATTCAAAACAATAGGCAAAAATTTTGAACTGAGACTGCACTAAAGAAAATATACAGATGGCAATTAAAACTAGAAAAGATGCAAACATCATTAATCATTAGGGGAATGCAAGTTAAAACCAAATGAGATACCCACTACCCACCTTTTAAACAGCACAAATTAAAAAGAGTGATTTTTCTAAGTATGATAAGAAGTGTAGGAGCTGGAGTTCTCACATACTACACTAGTGGGAATGTAAAATGGAACAACTTTGGAAAATAATTTAATAGTTTCTTTAAAAAATTAAGTATATACCTACCATATGATCCAGCCATTTCTCTCCTAGACATATTCCCAAGAAAAAATAAGTCGTATCTCCATTCAAAGACTTGTACACAAATATTCATAGCAGCTTTAGTGTAATTGCTCAAAGCTGGAAGTAACGCAAATGCTCATCAAGAGGTGAATGGATAAATAAGCCAGGGTATATTCATTCAATGGAATACCACCCAGCAATAAAAGTTTATGAACTATTGATACACACCTCAACATGGATGAACCTCAAAATAATTATACATAGTAAAAGAAGCCAGACGTTGTATGATTGCATTTGTATGAAATATCCTGAGAAGACATTTATCGAGATAGAAAGTTGATGAGTGGTTGCTTGGGGCTGATGATGGGAATGGAGATTTGCAGACAGACTTGAGGGGATGTGGGGATTTATTGGAAATGTTTTAAATTTGGTGATGGATGCACAACATTAAAACAAAAAGCCCATGCTGAATTTTAAAAAAAAGTAATTTTGCTTTTGAGGGCTGGATGCCCCTGAATAGAATATAAAGAGGTAGAGTGCTTGACTTAGCAAGTTAAAATGCTGTGGCTCAGGTTAACAAGAGAGACAAACCGCCATCTGGGGTCCCCACCTGCTGTAGATCTCTACTGATGAGAGTCAGAGTTCCCTGGAGGGAAGCTGAGCCTTTGCTTGGTAAATTGTGCTAATATTCCTGGGCCCCTGAAAATTGTGCTCAGAGGACTTCATGGAGATTTGCCCACTTACTCTGTGGAAGTCTCACTTCTATTTTTAATTTAGTAAGGACCTAGGACTTCTTGACTATATTTATCAGATATTGAGAGTTCATCTGGTTCAAAGCACATTCAAATACAGTCTTCTTGAGTAGAATCTATACCACCTTGGATAGAAGGGTGTCTAAGGGGAAAATGACATCATTCCAGATGACAAGCTTTGAATGTGTTTTCTCCTTTAGGCAATCCTGGAGAACAACCTCCCCTCTGAAATTGCTTGCAAGATCAACCTTGTGGACCTAGCAGGCAGGTAATTAGGATTTCAAGGCCAAGAATTATTTCATTGACAATGACCTTGTTCTTTCCCATTTTACAGGGAATAAACTGTTCTAACCCTTTTCACATTTCAATCATCCTGAGAAAATTTCAGAAGCATTCTTTGACTGCTAGGTTGAGAAATTATAGTTCTTTTAGTTCTCCAGAGAAACTTTTAGTTCTCCAGAGGCTAAAAGTTCTTCTATGTGAGGGGTTCCCTCTTTTAACTGCTCATTAAAATCACCTGGGGCCTTTTTAAACTCCCAATGCCTAGGCTGTACCTCTGATCAAGTAAGATTAGTGGGAAGAGGGGGAGTGCTGGCATCAGTAGTTTTTAAAGCTGCCCAGGTGGTTCCATTGTAGAGCCAAGATCGAAAAACCACTGATGTAAATGAAGCAAACTGAGCATAGTTTTTCCTTTGCTTAATATTGATTTTATGCAGTTTTATATATTACTTAAAAAAAAAAGGAAAGAAAGCTTTTAAAAAGAGAAGCTACTACCTTAAAGTCTTAGAAGGAAACATGAAATGTAGTCACATATGTATCTAGAAGGAAGGAAGTCTTGGTGATAATGTCATGAGGTGTAAGATGAAATGAGGCAAATTTTCTTAATTTAAAACTGCTAAATAATTAATATGGCACAGCATTCCCTTAAAAACTAAATGCTGTCTGGAAGAAACTTTACCAGCCAACAGGAAGTGTGAATTTTAAAATTTTCCCAATGACTTAAAAGAATTTGAGACGGTTGGTAGTTAATGACACAGATATCAAAAGCCAATAACAGGTGAAATTAAAACAACAATGGGGGGAAGTGAATATAGAAAAGCATCTATGCTAATATTACTGTAAATGAACATTACAGTTAGGTGCAAGTGCTCTGGCAGCCAAAATAAAAACAAATGTAAGGAGCAGTGGACACACAGACACTGAGAAGTGACTAGTGGTCACTGTGGGTTGGTGGGAAGGGTGAGAGGGATAAAGGGGCATGAAAACCCTCAATCGTAATATAAGTTGGTCACGGGGATGGCAGTACAGCATGGAGAGTACAGTCAGATTCTGTAACATCTTCCTGTGTTGACAGATAGTAACTGCACTAGAGGGGGTGAGGATTTAATAACCACTGTGTTGTACATTTGGAACCAATATAAGATTGTATATCAATGATACTTCAATAAAAAGTTAAAAAAAAACAAATGTAAGGAATTATTTGATTTTTACTGCCTAAAAAGCAGAAGAATGCCAGTTCATTACAAGATGGTAACTTTTTTTGGAAATGGAATTCTAAAGGGAATTTATGTGGGCCATTGACATGGATAGTGTTCTTCAACAGCACTGTAAGGAGAGTATCTTCTTGTTTGCTCTTGTTCCTGTTTTCATTGCCTGTGTGTCAGTGAAAGAGCAGATCCCAGCTACGGCAAGGACCGAATTGCAGAAGGAGCCAGCATCAACAGGTCTCTCGTGACTCTGGGCATTGTCATCTCCGCTTTAGGTATTTTGCTGATAGACTGGGTCTTTAGAGGGGGAGAGAGACTTTGGAAAACAGCTCATATATTTTCACTTTGTCCAAATGGGTAAACACAAGTTTCTTTTTGATTTGGGGCATGGAAGATTAATATTGGTCTGTAGTTGAGAACTTGGTTCTCAACTTTTGGTTTGGGGCATGAAAGAATAATATTGGTCTGTAGTTGAGAACACAATGCGACCATCATCCCATCACTCGCGTTTCAAAAAGAAGTGAGACTAAAAAATCATGTGGCTCAAATACTCCACGTCATGAGTCCAAAGTCTGATGCAGTGGTCAAACTCAAAGCATCCTATGATATACAGAAAGAAATTGGTAACTGTGATGCTTAAATCTATGTTCTCCAACCATTGTTTTGCTTTAATGCATTTGTTTCAGAATTCCTTTTTTCTTCTTTTCTGTAATCTGTGTTTAGCTCAGAACTCTCAAGTATTCAGCAGCTGCCACAGCCTCAGCAGTACAGCCAGTGATGGTGGTGATGGTGGGATCCCTTGCTCTCCTGGGACCAGCAGTGGAGGGCGACCCTTCCAGAGGCAGTCGTACATCCCATACCGGGACTCTGTGTTGACCTGGCTGCTGAAGGACAGCCTTGGAGGCAACTCCAAAACCATCATGGTTGCTAGTGAGTGGGATGTAGGAGTGGGGTCTCTGTTGCGACTGGTATTCTGCCTTGGACTAAGGGCCATGGGTCTATTAACCTGGCGTGGACAGCAGCAGCAAGGCAAGTGGTTTTGGGCTGGGTCAGAAGGGCTTGGCACGTTTTTTCACTTTCTCCCTCTACCCTAGCCGTGTCTCCTGCACACACTAGCTACAGTGAGACCATGAGCACACTGAGATATGCATCCAGTGCCAAAAATATCATCAACAAGCCTCAGGTAAATGAGGTGAGACCTTCTTCTGAGTCCTACTCTGGTATAGTTTACACAGAATTCTTTGATTCTCTCATTAATTTCTTTCTCTTTGTACACATCCCAACTTGCCTGACTTGTTCTCAAAATGAGAAGGAGTGAGTGAAATCTTTTCTTCCAGTGTCATACCCTTCTCTCATATCTCTACTGACTACACTCAGTTGCCTTTTAAAAGTAATTTATTTTAGATATTTTTCTAAGGCCATTCCTCTTAAGCTTCTCGGTACGCCATTGCCCTGCAGAGAAACATCATTTAAATGTTTCTGTGTTTAATTCTTTTAAGTTTATGTTATGTGTGCTTGTTTTATTTTTATTTTCCCATGATAATTGCAGTAACTTCTCTGTTTTGGGTTAAAAGGGGCATATAAGGAATTCATTAGTTTTGAGAGCTGAATAATAATAGAATATTCCAAACATTCCTTACCTGCTTTGCAATCTCTGAAACGTTTCAGGGCAGGGATCTCCAATTGGTGGCTAGATTTATATAGCTCATCTGTGGACTGTTTTAAAAGGCAGTGTAATTAGACAGGCAGGTACTAAGTTTAGTCACAATACAGGCAGTTAGCACCTATTATCTATGCATGTCTGATTTTTGTATTACTTGCCTAACCTCTCACTGTAGGGCAGTAATTCTCATACTTTAGTGTATATCAGAATCAGCTGGAGGGTTTGTTAAATCACGGCCAGGTCCCAGCCCTGAAGAGTTTCTGATTTAGTAGGTGTGGAGTGAGGGCAGAATTTGCATTTCTAACACGTTTTTAGGTGAAGTCACTGCTCTGATCCTGAGTCCACACTTTGAGAAGAGTGCCTCAGAAGTTACTGTGAAGGAGTAATCAGTTCTTCCAAACTAATTGCATGTAACATGTTACAGTGGTTTGGGACCTGGTAGCAATCAGTGGTGACTGAGTTCTCGTGTTGCAGGATGCAAACGTGAAGCTGATCAGAGAACTCAGGGCAGAGATTGGAAGACTGAAAGCCATGCTGCTGAGCTTCGAACTGGTATTTGGGCAACAGAATGTTTGTGTGCACAAGAGCCCTTTTCTTCATAGACTCTGAGTCCTGCTGTATTGTGTATTCTCAGTTAAGTGACACTTGGGGAAAAGAGGAAGGAGCCAAGACAGAACAGGAATTACTCTGATTACTTGAGTAGTTCAGTTGGGGTGGTCGTCCTCTCACTGTATCACCTCTGTTGTCCGAAGAGCACCTGCCTGAATGGCCCTTGTTCCTTGTGTGGGCAGATATGAGGAACAGGGCCCCCCAGAGAAATTTCTTTGTGTTCTCCTTCTTTGTACCAGTCTGAGCCCAAATATCTAAGTTTCTGATTTGTTTCTGATTTTAATGATACGGTCTTTCCTCTGTCTCTTTTCTTCCTTCATAAGAGGAAGGATGGGACCCAAGAAGCACACCTCTCTCTTTATGCAGAGAAGCTTCAGTCCTTTGAATGAAGAAAAGGATGAAAACCTGAAGGAGCTGGTTCTTCAAAATGAATTAAAGGTGGGTGTGTTGGGTGAACTCGGCTGTGCTTTCTGTCACCCTGGGAGCAGACCTGTTCTCCCTCCATTATTCCTGGTCCAGGACGGCTCTCTTATGACAAGTCAAAAACTCTAGAGCCTGAGAGATCTCTGAAATAAAAGGGTTTATTGAGCCTCAACAGATGCCAGCCAGAAGAACTAAGTCCTAAGAGAGGAAGTTTCTGCTTCCCCAGTAGCAAGGCCAATTCACAGAAGCAGCTTGGCCACCAGACTTAAGGAACAGGGGACATTTATAAGGGGTCTCAAAGAAAGAAAGTTCTTTAAATTCACCTTGACTGCAGATAAGTAAGGTGGGCTAATGTGAAGCTGGGCAAACCTGGGGACAGGTAGTCCAGAGAGAAGCCTTATGGATTGGTTGTTGAAGATGGTCAGCCAGACACTGATCACATGCAAGGGGGATGCAGTGATTCTGCGGACCTTCTAGATGACTGTTGAAATGACTTCATCTAGGAGTTATTTTTATTAGACTCTGTTGCTGATATGCATAGTAGGCCCTCAGTATTTTATTTTTGTTGTTGTTTTAGTATTGTCTTGCCAATGGGTTTCAGCCTCGGGCAGGTTTGCTATGGATTCAATGTGACCAAAGAAAGTGACAGCAAAATGTTCTTTGGGATGAAAGTGTTTATTACCCGGCTTTTTCTCCAGGCAGCAGGTCGAGCACTAGCATCTTTGCCTCCCCCCGGAGCACTGGGCCGAGCTCTCTATATAGTGCAATAATAGCTTACTGCCTACAGGTGTGGGGAAGCGGTAGCCTAGCAACAGGCCAGTTATATATCATCAGGTGGTTTAAGTTCAGTGATGATCCTGGCCAGAGCAACCCCAACTTCCCCACAAGTATTATGTGGCCTTTTAGACCAGTTTCATGTAGTCTTTATTCTACCGGGGAGATTACTGTTGGCAGTAATCTTTGTGGGTCTTTGAGTCACATACAGCTTCGGTTAGAACCCAGAGTACCACACCCAGGAAAAGAAGTATACTCCCAGTATGGATCACATAGAAGGAGGATGGGGCAAGGAGATTATAAACATAGGTGTCCATCTAACATCCCAGTTAATTTTTTAAAATAACATTTATGGCATTTTTTCTAATTTTAAAAACAATTCATTGCAGGAAACTTTAAAATAATGCTTACTGAGGGAATTTCTGTGACTTGTTTTTGAAGAAGTTAGGAAAAACAGCTCACAGAGGAGGTGTAAGGGCCTCCATGGGGCTTTGAATCAGTGAGGAATCAGGCCTGGGTGACATCTGACCTTTCTTTAGTCTGCTCCCTGTGCTGAGTGTGTAAGACCACCTCCTCTATCTGCAGATAGACCAGCTGACTAAAGACTGGACCCGGAAATGGAACGAGTGGAAGGCCCTTGTGGAGCATTACAGAGTGGACATCAACAGGAGGAGGGCCGGGGTAGTCATCGACTCCAGCCTGCCGCACCTAACGGCCTTGGAGGATGATGTGCTCAGCACAGGTGTTGTGCTTTATTACCTCAAGGTGAGCACCCCCTGACCTCCTTAGCCAGTGGCCCTGGAGGCTGAGGAGTGAAAAGCCAGGGCAGCAGCTGCATGTCTGTGAATTGAGTTGGATGCTACTGAACTGCCTTTGGGGCTGCCTCCAGGGAGTGGGCTAGCCAGCCTGTGGTGGCGATTCTGCTTTTGTCTGAACAGAGCAGAAGACTGGAAAGTCAGACAATTGGTTGTTTTTCAGCTGCTGCTACAGTTGCTCTTAGAAAACTTAGTTTTGTTCCCTGTGCCTTAATTGCCTCATTTTGAAGTAAGAATGATGCTGCTTATGTTCCTTTTCTGGCTTCCTGAAGCACTTGCAGTCATGGAGGTGAAATCTTAACCTCGAAATACCACCAGCCCTCCCGCGCTCGCAGATACAGGCTGCTCACAGATGCCTTTCAGAGGAAAGAAGAAATCAAGAGATCTGAAATAGTTCCCTTCCAGTATTTCCCCACTTGTTCAACCCCCAAATCAACAAAAATGTCCCTCTCCCTTCTCCATTGCTAAGTTTACCTAGGAAAGAAGAGAGGAGAGAAAGTAGCTATGGGAAGCTTAAAGAAAGCATGAGGGAGCATTCGGAGAGCTGGTAAGCAGTGAGGTAGGGCATGGAATGCAGCCCCCTAGAAACAACAGAACAAAGCCAAGGCCCTCCACAAGGAACCTAGCTCAGCTGCTTGTCTGTCACCTGGAGGCCAAGTCCTCGCTTCTAAGTGAAGCAGTTTGAGAGTTAGTGACTGATGGTAGATAGAGTCTCATCACCTGTCCTCATACCGTGTTTGTGTGACTGTAGGACAGTCCCTCTGGATGGCAGAATATATTTTATGTGGCCCAAATCCCTGCGCTCACTGAAAATCCAGCCTTCATTCTTATAATCGTCCCCAGCTGACATATGAAAGGAACAGTTTATGGGGGATCTGTAATGATCTGTTATCTCTGGAGAAATAAGGCTTCTAATGATGTGGGTGCATATGGTAGTGAGATGTTAGCAAAGCCAACAAGGCTTAGAAAGCCTTTGTTCTTAGGCTAAGCCCTCAGGGAAGTTGTCAGAGAGTGAAGCCTTAGAACAAAAGGTTTAAGTAGCTTATTTTCTGATGCACAGAGTATAAACTACCTCAGTGAAGATGTCTAGGCAGAAGTGCCTTTTACCTGAGTAACAGATCTAAATGCCAAAGGTTATCATCCTTCTGTCAGCCAGAACCATGTGAAGAGGTTGGAGGTCAGAAAGAGACCGGGTGAATTAAAATGGCACATATTTGAGCAGAACTGATGTGCTATACTGATTGGATGTGGAGTGGGCAAATGAAGCTGAAAGACAAGAGGCAGCCCTTAGGGTGGCTGTGGAGTGCTAAAGGACGAGACTGAATTGCAGATAGGAGAGCAGTGCCGGCCTTGAATGAATGGAGGAGTCCCCTTTTCACTGCTGAGTCTGCACGCTGAGGGTGCTGCTCCCGCCTCGGAGCACTTGCAGCGAGCCTGGGGTGAGCTTTCAGTCTCGTTCTGATCCTGGCCTTGCTGCATTTTATGTATCCATATTTTCCCTTTCTGTTTGTTTAGATCCTGGTTTGGGTAATAGGATTACAGTGATTACTTAAGATCCTCTTGTGTTTTTATTTGCTTTGCTAACTTGGTCATACACCCAGGGATGGCCCCCAGCCATGCTCTGGAAGCTCCGTTCTCTTGGGTCACCTCAGGAAGCCCCTTAGGTAGGAAGGGGCGGAGGGAAGAGTGCGTGGAGGTCCGACTTCTGATAATTCTGGACTTCATCCCCTTAATTGCCTTTGTTCTGCTCACTTTCCCCACTTAAGCAGACAGAGGGGGGCAGCAAACACAGGTGCCAACTCAGTCCCTGTTAAGCAAAATGCCATCATTTTTCTGGTAGTTTCTGCCCTGCAGGTCTAGAAGTTGTGATGTGCTATGGCCTTTATCCTTTGGGGAGGAGTGTGCCTCATCATTGAGGCTGACCCTGAACTTAGCGGCAGGGGTGGGGGGTGGGGTCTTGACCCCTTTCCCTTGATTTTGTTTGGTGGTGTTTGTGGAGGCCAGCATCCTTTGGTTCATGTGGCTCTGAGCAGCAAAGGCTGGGGCCTGGCTGGCTCTGTGTGTGCACACAGAGGGTGGCACACTGAGACCAGAGCTTCATTCATTACTTCAGGAGTCTGCCTTTTCACCAGCTATTTTGGGAGAGCTATGCAGGGGACCTCCACCTTGTGGCTGCTAACAGTGAAACCTGATCACTTGAAAACATCTATTACTGGGGAGGTGGTATGATGGGGCCAGAAAAGCATGGGCTTAGGACCCGGAGAGACCTCAAGTCTAGCCACAGCACTCCCACTTAGGATGTGGGTTCCCTGGGCAACTTATCCCCTGTCAGCTTCAGATTCCTCATCTTAAAAGGGAGATAATAATACCTATATTTTGGGTTGTTAAAGGATTAAATAAGAGATGTCTTAGAGCATTCAGTGCAATGCCTGGGACATAGTGAATGTTCCTTCAATAAATGATAGATACATATGTAAACTCAGCATCTCTGTTGCTGTATTGCTCCCTTCCCCAAACAGATCAATGTGGTCTTAACCAGAATTGTCATAATCCAAGAGCTAGAAGGCCTTGTCTTCTACTAACCCAGTGATTCATTTATACTAACTCTTGTTTCCCCTCTTCTCTCACACTCTTCCAGTCTTTTTGGTCCTAGATATGCTTTTCTCCTCTTTGTGCTTTACCCTTCTTAGAATGTGGTGTCTGTCAAACTTCATCTGCGGACCAAGAAGGTAAACATCCCGTGCTTCCATACATCTGCATAGAATGCTTGTTTCTTTGAGCCTGACTGAACCAGATGTGGACCACCCTAACCTTAGTTCCTGGGAAAGCTGTACCTGTGTCCATGTCCTCAGATGAGAGAATCTCTGACCAACACCACAGCTGTTCCCTAATTTCAGGCTTCAGGACACTTTGCCAAAGGTGTTGGCCAGCACTTGTTGACTTTGTAAAGAACTTCTCATATGTGCTGCTTTCTCATATGATTTTTTGCCCTCGCCTTCTCAGGGGCTTCCTGGGCTGTGCAGTGAGTGGGCAGAGCAGTGAGGGCAGCCTGGACCAAAGGTGGGAAGGGTGCAGAAAAGACCAAGGTGGGTGTAGTGTAGGAAGATGGCACTAACACTCCAGCAGGTCAGGGAGGTCACTGCCTCCTGCCGTCTGACCCAAGGTAGGACTGTACAGCTCTGTGTGGACCAGGACAAGTGATGGAGTAGCTCTAGCTCTGTTCTCTTTGGGGGCAGGGTATATCCCTTTTTGTTCTCATTAAAAGGGCTTTGTTATTCTCTGTAGGAGGGGACAACAAAAATAGGAAGGATCGACTCTGACCAGGAACAGGACATTGGTAAGTGACAGAGCATATGGGTCTGACACTTTGTGGCAGGAACTTGCATTGGACAGGGCTTTTCAGAGGAACCTGGTGGTGCTCTGAGGAAGGAATTTTGGATCATCCAGGGGCCACTTCTTCTTTGTCTGCTAGGTTGTGGGTCTGGGACATGATAGGACGAGGTGGTTTCAGGCAGTGGCTCTTCCTCTCTTGATGTGAAATCTTCCAGATACGGATTCTGATCTCATAGAAAGCATGGAGGTGCATGTTTCTCTGGGCCGTCTACCCAGCTAAGTGACTCCCTCTCTTCTATAGTCCTTCAGGGTCAGTGGATCGAGAGAGACCACTGCACTATCACCAGCGCCTGTGGGGTAGTTGTTCTACGACCGACTCGGGGAGCCCGCTGCACAGTCAATGGCAGGGAGGTGACTGCCTCCTGCCGTCTGACCCAAGGTAGGACTGTCTACAGCTCTGTCTGGACCAGGACAAGTGATGGAGTAGCTCTAGCTCTGTTCTCTAACCAGGATCGAGAGAGCCCAGTGAAACAGGCTTTTAAGGATGGAACACCCAGCCTCTGCACCCAGAGATCTGAAGATTTCCTAATTCAATCCTCTTCCCATAAACAAAGAAACTCCAGGACCCTAGACTGGAAAATGACTATGTGAAATTTGTACCTGTGTTTGTTAGCTCTGTGTCCTTGGGAAAGTCTCTGAACCTCAATTTCTTCATCTGTCAAAATAGGGATAATAAGAGGATTGCTGTGCGGATTGAATGAGCTAATCCATACAATGTTCTTAATAGTGTTTTTAGCACTTAGCAAACACTCAGTGTCATTATTACTGTTACTACTACTATTAAACTATTCACATTTTGTCTGTTCTTTGAGGGTAAGCTTAGATTTCCCTCTCTTCCATGAAGCATTCTTGACTACTCCACCTGGAACTCATTTTGCTTTCCCTTGCAGCGCCGGAACCCCTCCTGTTCATGTCATTAGTTCAGTACATATGCTCTGCGACCTCTTATTCAAGTGAATACCTCTTATTCAAATTTGTTAAATGATCAACTTGTTAAGGGGAGGACTTTGTCGCAGAGAAACAGTGCCCTACATGTAGTGCGTACTTACAACATGAGCTGTGGACTGAATTCTCATCTGTGTCTGTGCTGCAGGAGCAGTCATAACTCTGGGGAAAGCACAAACATTCCGATTTAACCACCCAGCAGAGGCCGCTGTCCTGCGACAGAGAAGGCAGGTTAGCACCCTGCTTCTAGGTGGCTGTGGGCCTCCCTACTTCTCTCTAGGGGTCGAGCTTGAGCTTTGTCTGGTTCTGGGGGTCGGGGTCGGGGTCGGGGTTGGGGGTGACCAAAGCATCTCTGCTCTCTTCCTGTTCCCAGGTCACAGAGGCTGGCCAGGACGGGGGCTCTTTGGAATGGCTGGACTTGGATGGAGATGCCACTGCCTCCCGGTTGGGTCTCTGCCCTTTGCTTTGGAAGGAAAGGTGAGAAACAGCTGCTTTTTCTGCTGTGGAACCTATTGGTTTTGCTTCTTAATCTGTTGTTACACAGAGCAGGGGAGGAGGAGGTGAGTGTAGCAGCTAAACTGTGAATAAGACCTGCTCTCAACCAACTTGGGCAAGTAATTTGAAGATGCTGAGCTAGCCACTCACCTTCTAGTTGGCAGGGAAGCAGTCTTGGCCCTCATTCACCTCCTCTTCAATATTGCAACTTTCTTTATTACTGAAATAAATATATCATTTGATGTTTCCTATGGCCACTGTCCTCTGGCAATAAGATATAAATGTGATGTATTTGTAGATATCTTTGACAACTGCATCTGAACTTTCTTAGTATACCCCTTTAAGTTTTGGCCTGCCTTTGTGTGAGCTCAGAGTGTATGTCAGTTAGCTTGCAGGACCATGGCTTCCTCTGAGTTTTTGAAGATAGCGTGGAACTGGGAATCCTTTCTTTCTTATAACCAAGGGTCCAGAATTATGAATAAGAGGGGCAGGAGCTCCGGGGATAGTATGAAAAATATCTTGGGGCTCTGCTGTCTCAGACCCACCTGATCTACACTCTATGTGATTGGTGACAAACTATTTTCTTTCTTCATCTGTTTCTGTGTAGAATCCCAACCCCAGATCGAGGTGTCCTGCAGGCTTGGTACTAGGGATAATGGTGTCCTTCTGTTCCCATAAGCCAAGGTAGCCTCTGACTTGGGGACTTCATGGAGAAAATGTCAGCAGGGACTCATGAGACCACTGGTGTTGGGAAGCTGCCCAGCCCAGGAGCACAGGGCTCCTGGGAGGGTGCCCTGGTTCCTTCAGAGGGATCTGGCTGCTCTTTCCCCAGGCCGGAAGCATTTGGTAGCAACTGAAGATAGCTTTGGGCCTGACCTTGGTAGTGCTGGATGTTGGACGTGGGAGCAGAAACAGTGATACAGGGCCAGTAGGTCCAGTCCTCATGGCTAAGTGCTGCAGGCCAGGCACCAGAGTCTTAAGGGTAATTCTCGGGGCGGATGGCCAAGGCTCTGTCGGGTGACAAGTCAGGTGGGTGAGGTGTCACAGGGAGGAGCATACCAAGGCCAAGGCAGAGCCAGGACTGAGGCCGTAGCCCTTGTTTCATCAGTGGCCCTCCCTTTTTGTAGTGAAGTCATGAAAGGAGGCCTTGTCTTAGGTAAGGTTTCTGTTGGAAGGAGCACTGGTGCTGTTTGTCCCAGAGTTCACAGGTTTGCAGGGAAAGGCTCTGCACCTTAAAGAGCTGTGGCTGTTGAAGAGAGATGCTGGAGTTGGAGAAAGCTGTTTCACATCCTGGCTATACAAAGTAAAAGCTGTGTGACCTTAGGCAAGTTACTAAGTCTCTGAGCCTGTTTGCCCACCTCCAGTAAGGATACTACCTTCTGACCCCCAGGGATCTGGGTGGTTGAAAGGGCACGTGCTTTGCCCATGTCTTGATCACCACCCCAGCCCCAAAGCTGCCCAGGAAGGCAGCTTCCTTCTCCCGTTCCTGTCTCCTGTCTCACCCCAGCTGACCTGCCTCTTCTTGGGCTCTCTGACCCTGCAGGCACTGACATGACCTTCCAGGAACACCAAGAATGCGCCCTTTCATTCAGACGGGGATTGGGAACCCAGGCCTCTCCCCCTCGCTGCCTCTGCTCTTCAGCAGCAGTTCCAGGAGCCTATGGACAGGGCTGGTCCTGCCCAGCTAGTAGCCAGCATCTGTGTGCCAGCTCCTGAAGGAAATGGGGTGCAGTGGGGCTCAAGTCTGTGACCGGGCAGAGGGGCCAAGGGAAGAAGCCATGAGAGTGGAGAGAACCGCACGTTGTCAGCTGGGCCCCCAGTCTGGTGTGTGGCTGTGTCTCCACGATAGTCTCATTTGCTCTTGGGTGGGGCCGGCTCCAAAGCCTTCCCTTGTCCTAGGCTTTCTTTCCCTCATTCTCCTCTCTGAAGGAGCCAGCTGCAGCTGACTCCAGAGCCAGGGGAAGTTGGCCGGTCTGCCTCCTTATCTCCTGGCAGCAGCAATCTGGACCAGAGGGGAGTTTGTCCTTGAAAACTGTTTGTTGCCTATATTCTTGGCATTTTCCCATCTGAAATTTTTGGGGCATAACCTTAAATGTCTAGAGCCCGGGAGACGCTGTTGTTGCCGCTGCTGCCTTAGTGAGTAGGCGCTCCTGCATCCTGCTGCAGAAGCTTAGACCCCGAGGCAGCAGGAGGGTGGGGGGAGCAGTGGAGGCCTGGCAAGCTGGTGGCCTGGCAGCAGCTGGGGGATGCTGGAGCCACCCAAGGTCGAGGGTAGCCATCTGATAGAACCAGAGGTCCTTGGCTGGCAGTGACTGAAGATTTGCCTTTGGTAACCTACCCAGGCATGTAGAGTAAGGTTGGTATTTTCTTTTTCATCTGCTTTCTGGGAACTTGGCTGATGTGCTTAGCAGAGGAGCCGTCTTCAGTCTGATGGCATGTCTGATGGCGTGATCCACAAGGCCGTTGCCCTGTGACACCCGTGAGTGGCTGAATGTGAATGCGGTGTGTCTGTAGTCATCATCCCAGAACCCTCTCTTTGACATCCTGTTGCTGCGTGAAGGAAGACGTATCCCGTCAGCAGAAGCTGACTGGTAATTGCCACTTCCTTAGGAGAATGGTAGAGGGAGCTCTCTTCTATGGAGAAGCAAATTGTAAACCTGGGGATTGGAAGATAGCAGAGAAGGAAGCTGAGTACTCTCAAGGAATTCAGAATAATGATCCTCTCTCTGCCCCTTGTACCTGATGGTCTGGATCTTTGCTGGGTTCATCTGGGACCCCCTGATAGGCTCATGTTTGTAATTCAGCCAATGTCTGTGGCCAGACAGAATTTGGAGGCATGATACATAGAAATAGATTGTATAAAATGTTTCCTATTAACTGCCTTTTCTATTTGTGTGGCATTAACTGGTTTTCTATTCCAATTGCTGCCCCTTGTCTTTTGCTTCACATGAGACAAAGGGGGCCTTCCCTCTTTTCTGCACATTCCACTGAATGTATTTGGCCTCTTGCCTACAGCACTTAGTGCCCATCTTCCCCAGAGCACACACACTCAAGCATAGGCCTTGGACCCATTGCAGATTGAATAACCTCCCAGCTTCCTTCCCAGGGAAGAAACTGCCATTGTGTCGACTCCCCCCCATGCAGCCCCATCCATCTATTCACTCTCCCATCCATCCATCCTTCACTGTCCTCCTAAAGCTGCATTAAGAAATCTTAATTTCTTCTAAGAGAGAGGCAGCAAACTTTCTGTAAAGGGCCAGATAGTATTTCAGGCTCCATGGGCCATACAGTCTCTGTTGCAACACAGCCATTCAGTTTTGTCAGTTTGGCACAAAAGCAGCCTGTTGTTCATAAAAACAGGCAGCAGACCAAGTTTGGCCCACAGGCTATATAGTTTGTGGATCTATGCTTTGATATCCTCTGTGACTTTATTCTGCTCTACAAAGTGGTAAATGTCCTATGCAAAGTGAGCCAGAGCACATTGCTCAAACTGTCTGAGATCTGATGCTAGTGTCATTAAGTGAGTCTCTTCAGGCCTGAAAGTCATGGCATCCTGGGACCAGAATGAGGCCTGAGGGCTAGCTAAGAGAGGCTGGATTCAGACTTTTTTGCTAGTCTCTGCCATATCCTGACTTTTATTAACCATTCCCCCTCCTACTGCCATCCCAGAGTGCCCATGAGTTGGCTTCTTTAGAAACTTGAATGACTAAAATGGAGAGACCTGCAGAAATAGCACATGAGATCCTTGCTAAGAAGGCCACGGGCGACCCAGGCACAGGCTGGCCTGTAGGTAGAAGCTGACTCAGCCATGGTCACACAGGAACCTGGTGGCAAAGTAAGGCATGACTGCAATCTACTATTCTTTTTAAACTTTGCATTATGGAGAATTCCAAATATACTGCAAACGATCAACTCAGGGCTACCTTGTTTCATTTCTATCCCCCACTCACTTTTCCCACTTATCTCCACTGGATCTAAACAAATCCCAGACAATATCACTAGTACACTTTAGCATATATCTCTGAAAGGTATGGTAGAGTCTAAAACTCTTGAACCCTATGCCAGGGCTCATTCACTGAGAATAGCCCTTGAGTGGAGCCCAGCTCTCCTCTGGATCTCCTGCCACGCACACAGGTCTGGTGTGCATTGTTTATTTTCTCCCTCCTCTGGACTGGCTGCCTCCTCCTCCCAGATCACAAAGGGTTTCTGTCTCAGGGAATGGAGCGATAGTTTGTTATCTCTGGACATGTAGGAGAGAGTTTCCATTCCCACCATAGAGTAGAGCAGAAGCTCCAGAAATATTTCCAGCATATTTTCAGCGGTTACCTTTTTCTTTTTTTAAAGGACAAAGCTATTTGATTTAGTTAAAATAGTTTTTTTGTTTTTTTAAAGCTGCTTTATTTTCCTGATTATCTTCCTTGACCAAAATAAACTTGTGTTTCTAGTAAACTTGTGATCTAAGAATATGCTAGTTTAAGGGCCATTCTCCCTTCCTGCATTGTGACATCATGAGCTCCCTGTGACACCGTGCCTTGTGTGTCCCAAGTTGCCAGAAGTCTAAACCCTTTTCTGCCCTGTTGAATTCTGGAGTTCCCCCCCAGGGGATTAGACTGCCACCAGCTTGCCCTGAGCTGGGTTTACATTTCCCCTGGGTAACCCCGGCCCCTCTGTGACAGAAGAGTGCTGGAAGAGCAGAGTGATGAGGGCCACCAGCCCCTGAGGACTGTAGAGTTGCGCCACAGGGCCCGGATTCAGCAACAGTGCTACGTGGGAAATTCGAGGCAGCGAATCCTAGCGGGACAGATCCGAGCCAAACAGGAACTGGAATTCGACCAGGCTCGCATCCGCCGGCAGATTAAAGACAGTAGGTGCCAGCCTCTCGCAGTGTCTGCTTCACCTTCTCGTCTCTTCATTTTCATGCTTCCCTAGCCTTCTGTGTTCTCCCCTTTGTTTTCACTGTGATATGGTGGGATCTTTGGTATTAGGTGTTCTCTCCCATCCTTCAGAGACCAGAGGCTCCTTGGTGGGGCTGGCAGCAGGCACAAGGAAACCACCTTCCTGGCTGGCCCTCAAAGTGATGGGCCACCTGCTCACTCCTCATCCACACCTTTGTGCATGCTTTGCTGCCTGTCTTAGTATGTGCCACTGCTGAGCTGAGGCCTGGGGGCTGGTTCCGTTGCCCTGTGGTGAGGGGCCCCAGTGGCCTTCATCCTGCTACATCACCCTGGCCAGCCTTCCCCTCTGTATGGGTCCAGCCACAGCTGGAGGGGCCTGAGTCCAGGCAGCCACGGGAGGGAGGGAGGTGCTGACCTTTTGGGGTGTGTTTGCTTCCCAGACCAGCAGTGGCTGCTCGGAGGAGAGACCTGGCCGGCTGGCTTGGAACAGCAGCAACAGCAAGACTGCGTAGCAGGGGAAGAACCTGAGGCCTCTGGGCTAGCAGGCACTTGGCCTCAGACACATCCCGAGACCCGGCTCCCCCAACTGGTCCGAGGCCAGAAGCGGCGGTTGCCACTGCAGCTCCAGCGGAGAGACGCTCTTCGGGCAGCAGAGTGGAACATCCGGCAGAAAAAGCTCTCATTCCAGCTAGAGAGAATCATCAGGAAGCAGAGGCTGCTGGAGGCCCAGAAGAGACTAGAGCCGCTCGAGGCATCATGCTGGCCCCAGGGTGACTGTGCCCAGAAGCTCCCATACCAGATCCCCTGCTCTGATGCTCTGGTCCCCGGGCCTCAGTGTAGAAGCAAATCAACAAGCTGCAGTTCTTTGAGCCTCCAAAGGCTCTGCGGCCAGTACTTGCCACAGCTGCGCAGGTACAGCCAGCGGCTGTCACCGGGAAGCATTGGCTGAAGCTCCCAGCCTCACTGCCCCGGCAGCGTTCTGTACTTCCCCACACCTGTTTGCTCAGTCTGTGAAATGGAAAGCTGTGCTTGCTGCTCTCTTCCCCATCACTTGTCCCTCCTTCTGGCTGCACTCCTTCGTCCTCTGTAGTTGGTGTCCTCTAAGACTCAGGCTTCCCCCACCCACTCTGAGTGGCAGCTCTTGCTGCTGTGGCAATACCTTTGGAGTGAGAATCTCAGCCTGTTTTCCTCGTATGTGACCTGCCACCACCTCCATCCCATCTTGCCTCAAACGGGACTCTGTTCCCATTCACTTTCTCCCCTTCCTGCCCCACCTGACCTGCCACCTCAAGTGAGCCTTCTGCCCCCACCTCCCAACGGGCGAGTGAGTAGAGCACATCTTTCTGACTCCCACGTTCAGTTTGCCATCTTACCTGATTCTTTTCTCCTTCACTCCTTCACTCGGTCAAGGTGAGGATATGTTATGTCTCAAACTGCTTGGAGCAGAGACCGTGTCTGCCTCTTTGTGTCCTCCAGGCCTAGCGCAGGCCTTGCCTATAGGAGGTGCACAATTAGTGTCTGTTGGTATTATATTTGAGCACCTTTCTGGTCTTCAGAGTACTATGCAGGCTTTTTTTAGTGCAAAATTTTCAAATATACACAAAGTTGAGAGGAATAGTATACCTATTACCCATATCCAGCATTATCAAGATTTACCATTCTTGCTTTATCTCCCTGTCTTCCTTTTTCTGATGTATATTAAAGCAACTCCTAGACATCATGTCATTTCACTCCTATATCAGGTACACACTTTAAAAAATAAGGACTTGAAACTACATTGTCATTATCATATTTAACAAAATTAAGGTTAATTATTCAGTATAAATCTAAAACCTCAGCCATATTCGAATTTCTCTAATAGCCTCAAAATACCATTTCCAGTTAGTTTTTCAAATTAAGATCCAAATAGGATTTATATACTACAGATATACTACATATGATTATGTCTTTTAAGTTTCTTTTAATCATTGTTTTGTTTTTGTTTCTTCATATCATTTATAAAGTGGATCAGTTCTATAGAATGTGCCACTTTATAGATTTGTCTATTTGACTCCTTATAGTATCATTTCAGTTGTTCCTCTGTTCCTCATATTGCCTGTTAACTGAAAGTGTCCTTTCAAGGCATGATTAGATTCAGGTTCAGTTCAGCTTTTTTATAAAATAAATTGAAGAACAGAGTGTCCCTGGGGCATCTTTGAGAGCCAGGACTATAGTCCACAGTTTCCTTTTCTACCTATAGAGCTTTGCTCCGAACCCAGAAACTATAGGGGAGAGTGACATTGGCTAATTTTTAACCTCTTTCAGAACGAACTAAGTGGGCCTCTATATTCTGTCAGCAGGAAGTAGGGACCTCTTCTCTGAGATGGCATACCTTGTCTCCACAGCATTTTCCTGAACTGGGATCCCTGCACCACGTTACCTCCTGTGCCTGACTCTGCTGACCAAGTGGCAGAGGAAACCGCAGCAGAAGAGTATCTTCCCCAGACTGCTGCTCACCCTCCAAGGACAGGGCATTTCAGCAAGAATGCCCTCCGTTCAGGCAAAGGGCAGCTCTGCACAACCAGGGGGGCCTTGGCCGTGAAGAGAGCCTCAGCCCTATGCACCTGCCTCCCTGTGAGCTCTCAGTCTGCCAGCATCCAGGAAATGGAGAGAGTGGGTAAGCAGTCCCGCTGGGTGGTGTCCCAGAGCCTAGCATCTCTGGGCCAATCAGCTAAGAAGCTAAAGCCAAGGGAGGAGCCAGAGGCCCTTACTCCTTCCACCCAGACCAGAAGAAGGGCTAAGGAACTAGTGAACTCTGGACACCCACTGGCAGGGTGGCAAAAAGAAGGGATCTGCAAGGCCACTAAGGGAGCCGGCTGCAGTTCCTCTCATCCCCATGGACCCAAACAGGTAGCTGGGCGTGGAAAAGCAGTCAAGACTTTCTGGACAGATTCCACACCACCTTCTCCAGGCAGGGCATCAAAAAGGCAGTGGAAGGTGCTAGCAGCTAGGGTCAGAGGTATTGCCATAAAGTCTTCTTGCTTGCCACTGGGCAGCCCTTTGAAGAGGCAGCAGAGTGCAGGGAACCCAGACACCATGAGCTCACTCACAGGTTCCAGCCCAGTAGAGGATCATGCAGTAGAAAAAGACAGTGACTTGCCTGATGCAGATAGTTGTTACTCAGTGGATTCTCTCCCCTGTGTCTATGCCAAAGCTCTGACAGAGCTGCTGAGAGCAGAGGACCCTCAGGGTATGGAGCAGGATCTCCCAGAGCCAGAGAACTCGGAAAGTGATGACAGCCAAGTATCAGAGGACGCGCTGGCTGAGAAGGGGTGCCGAAGACCACGGGACAGCCTGGGGGGCACTTACCTCGCCAATGGCCACAGCCCCCTTAGGGCTGGAGCTGGAGCTTCTGTGAGGGGCTCCACCACATCCTCAGACAGTGGACTGTTCACCCGAATACACAGGCGCTTTTCCCTGGATAGCCTGGTTGATGCTGAGGAGGAACTGGGAGAAGATCAGCAAGAAGAGCTTTTCTTCAGTTCAGCTGATGAGATGCCCACAGAAACTTTTTGGCGCCTGCAGACCTCCAGTTTGCCCATAGTAGACCAGACGGCAATGTGCAGCCTTGATCCCATCATCCGCAGAATAGGAGCCAGGCTGGAAGCCATCCTGCCGATGAGCAGTTCATTTTACCTTGCTCCCAAGCCCTGGCCCCACTGTGAGCAGTCTGAGGTGGAGGCAGGGGCAAGCTCCTCTGAACAAGCCGACACTCCCCGAGGCACGCAGGTTCCAGGAGGGAGCCCTCTGCTGTCCACGGGTTCCTCGTTTTCCTGTGACTCCAAGATTAATCCCAGCAGTCCTCCAGGAATAGCGGGTTCTTTATGTCCAAGTCCTGGTATCCAGGAGTTTCAGCCCTGCGGTTGGGAGAAGCCTGGCTACTGGCTAAATATGGAAGAACAAAAGTCACCAGAGGCAGAAACAGTCCTGTCCTATATCTCCAAACTGCCCCAAGGTGGTGCTGAGCTGCCCTGCAGGGTAAGAAGTGTATACACAATGCCTGCTTCTGAAACATCCAGGCTGTCACTCTGGGGGTCTTACAGGCTTCTTCAGCCAGGAGCTGACGGCACCTTTCAGGCCAGAGGTACCCCTGACCAGGCCCAGCAGGACAGTGCCACAGCATCTGACAGCTCCAGTGTGTCGCATGTGGTGGCTACGTCTGCCACCTCACCAACTCACGTGCACAGTGCCTGTGACAGGGACTGGGCTGCCCTTCAGCAGAGGTACCTCCTTGAACTATCTCCTGTTTGGGAGGCCACAGGGGAGTCCATGCCAGGTTTCCCCTCCCTCGAGGAAGACTCTGGTGCCCTGACCCAAGCCTCTGGCAAAGGAGGAGATTCTCTGTTGCCATTTGGATCTGTGGCTTCTAGCAGTGTAAATTTCAAAAACTTTCCTATCCATTTATCCAAAGTTAGGCATGTTAAAGCAGAGAAAGAACAGGACATTGCGAATGCTGAGTTAGAAGGTATTTCAGATCTCTTTACAACTAGTGAGAAAGAGGTGAGTTATAGTGGAACTTACTCAGCAGACATAGAATCATCATCTTCAGAAACTACAAATGTACAGGTCTTTGCAGCAGAGGACAAGATAGAAAATTCCATGATGGAGGCATGTGAAGTCAAACAAAACAACTTGGGAGAGTCCTCTCAGAGCAGAGGGAAACCTGGGCTGACGACTTCCTCTGATGAATGTTTCCTCCCGAAAAACCCCTGTGACAGTTATGTCACCATAGCCGCCAAAGACGGCTTTTGGCCCCAAGGCCAGGCTCCTCTCAGGAAGGGCAGTGCAGGCCAGGTGGGGAAATTAAGTCACAAGAGCCACCATCCCCAGCAGGAAGGGAAAGAAGACTCCCAGGAGAGCTTCCAGGAAGTGGTTGGAAGACACACCGATGTTTCCTTTGCCTTTTCGTCAGGCTCAGAGCTGCCCCCTGACTCTGCTCCTTGGGATCCATTCCCATATTCCCTGCAGCCACCTCCCTTGGGAACATTCTATGTAACCAAAAGCCGGGATGTCCTGACAGAAACTGCCTTAGAGATTTCAGCCTGCAGAGAAGCAAGAGCACCTTCCCCACCCCCTCAGGAAGCCTGGTGCTTGAGTTGTGACCCCCAGGTCCTCCAAAATGTTTATTTGAAGAATAATTTGCCAGTGCTGTTAGAAAACCAGAATTCCAATATTGCTTTATCTCAGCAAGTCACAGCAGAGAGGCCAGTTGATCTGAACACTAAGGAAATTAGCGGAGGAATAGGGAAATGCCCTGGAAATGTTGAAGAAGAAAGCCATAATTCAGTTTATTTTTCTGTTGCTCAGAAGAGACATTTTCTTCCATCTACCAGCATAAAAGTATATGATTTTGAAAATCAATTTGGAATTTTAAATAAACACAGTCTGCCAGTATGCGCAGAGGGGAAGGGGGCCACTGTTCCGTCCTATTGCGGTGTTCCCTCCAGCCGCACTGGGTCTAGGGAGCCTCTCTTTGTTTGTGAATCTGAGGCAGGCAGGAAAGAAGAACGGGATCAGAATGCAGTCCAAAGACAGAGTCAGGCCTTTGATACAAACAGGCAGTTTCCTTCTGGTTCCAGGTCTGATTTCATCTATAAAACCATCCATTTAGGCCTTGACAAGGACATGCGCAGGGAAACTGCTGCTCCTTTGAAGTCCAAATCAGTATGTCATAGAGCAAGCAGCCTAGACATATTGGCCATTAGACATCTAGCCCACAACGGGGAAGGGAAGAATGAAACTGGGCTTCTTGGAAAAGCTCACCATCCTAAAGACAGCTCAGAAGAGTTTAAGCTTCCATCTACATATGGAAGATTCCAGTCAGTTACATGCTGTCAGGAAAGAAACCTGAGTGAATGCAGGGGTCCTGGAAAGTCACAAGAAATGTTAAAACCCAAGAGAGAACCTTCTGGAAAGAAACAGAATAAACAAATTAATCATACTGATGAAATGGCTAGGCTAGTTAGGAGTGTAATGCAGCTAGAAAATAGTATCTTGGAAATCAAATCTAAGCAGAACAGCCAGCTGTATGCTTCCTATACACTGGGAGTCAGTAAGGAATTCATGTTTCAGGACCAGAAGGACCAGGAGATGGCTGACCATGTCCTGCAGACAGGCAGCTCTGAAAATCACTTGTCTCCCAAGGATCAGCCATCTTTTCCCAGACAGACAGATGATGTTACCCATAGGGATAGTGAAGCTAGAGAAATGGAGGCTATCAGTAGCATTGGGAAAAATCCTCAGGTCCAGAAAACCACCCTGAACCCATTCAAATCAAAGGAATGTGTACCAGACGTTAAATTTGTGAGAGCGCACACCCACCTGGCTGTATTAGACAGATCAGCTAGGGACACTTGTGATTATTTAGGGCCATGTACAGTTCACAGAGAGTCTACCAACACTTCTTTTAATCCAAGGAGAACAAAAGCACTGGCTAGAACTCAGCCCACGCCCGAGAAGTCGTCTGAGAAGGAGGGTGAGTTGATGAGCACATCAGCCAGCCCCAGAGGGCAGCCCTGTGGTCTGGGAAGTCTTGAGCTGGAGACTGTGAAAGGTTTTCAGGAAAGCCAAGCTGCCAAAAGCACAAGTAGTTCTAAACAAGAGGAGCCAAACGTTCAAGGCGGAGTTGAAGAAATGGCTGTGCAGCGAGGAAGGAGGCTACAGAAGGAAAACAAGGTGGTCTCATCAACTCAGAAACTTCCTAGTCCCAGCCAATGTTGCATGGGGACCCTCTCCAGCCAGGAGACTGGTGCATTGCTGAGCCAGCCAGACTCCTCCACAGCTCCTCCCCAGGACCGGAGTAATACCTTGCCCTTGAATTCTCCAAGACTGTCAGGAAACTATCTTCATGTACCCAGTGCTATAGGCATCTCTTCAGTTGACTGTGGACTAGATCCCACAAAGTTCAAAGTGGCCAACAGTCTCTTAGGACTGGAAGCATGGTGTCAAGACCAGAGTAGAGAGCCTGGACACCATGGCTCTCAAGAAAATGTTAGAGGGGCCTCCTCTGTGGCACACCCTGCTTGGGGTGGATCTGCAATATCCATGGCCATGGGATCTTATGGCCAACCCTGGGTACCAGAGGTGGGTGCAGAGGGCAGGACATCAGCAAGCACTAGGCCCCAAAACAAAGGAAGGGACCTCAGAAGCAATTTAGTGGGTTTAAGTCCTAGGGTGGGTTCTGCTTCTGAAGCTGGGGCAGCTGTGCAAGGAGGAATGCGACAAGCCAGTTCTCTGAACAGGGTCTCTAGCTTGCTTGAAAAGTGGGCCAGCTGCCCATTAGGAGAGGGTAACAACCAAGGCAGGAAGGAGAGACAGACAGAGAAGGAGGCTGAAGACCCCAGTCCTGCCAGTAGTTCCTTCTCAGTTCCTGGGTCCCTGCCAAGGGGGCCTCCCTCAGAGCCTGCTGTGCCTGCAGGCCTGGCTGTGCTGGAGGAGGTCAGACAAGCAGAGGCCCAGGGAAGGAGGCCTCACAGCTTGCTGCCTGGCAGCACAGTGCTTCCTTACTATGAGACTTTATCAGAACATGACTGCTCTTCAGGGGCCCCTGGCAGGCCTCTGCGTCAACAAGTGGACCAGTCAGTATCAGACAGGACCACGAGTGAGAGTGAAACACAAGGATTTCATGTAGCATCTCTCTCTGCCGAGCCGGGACATCAGTTGACTGATGAGAGGAAAGTCCTTCAGGCCACACCTCTCTCTGCAGACAACTTTCAACCTCTGCCCAATGCCGAAACTAAAACACGGTTGTGGCATCCCTCACAGACCTCCTCCCATGCTGCCCCTGCTCTAGGCAAAAGCCATTGTCATGGACAACTGAGACATTTGCTGGGAACAGGTGAACAGTTTATATGCCACTCTAGCTCTTGTGAGATGATAGAGAAAATGAAAGAAGCAACCAGAACACCTTCCTCTGCTGATCCTTTGTGCACAGACAATCTTCCTTCTTCAACAGCTGTAGAAGAGAAAATGGTGGTTGTCTTACCTTCTCAGGCCCCTCCTGATGATGCTGGAGCGGTTCCATGCAGGCAAAGTCAGCTAGCTCCATGGGATGCTGCAGAGGGCATGCCTCTTGGCCATCAGGAGAGCATCCCAGCCCGTTGGGAACCTGGAACCCTAGACACCACATGTGGAGGAGATTCAGGTAACTTCTTAGAGGCTCAACAGGGAGGAAAAACAACCTCATTTGAAGGTCAGCATGTGAGCTGTGTTGTACAGGGTTCTGCCAGTCTCTCAAGGCCTAACCAAGACCATGTCCAAAGCCTTGAGGTTTCCACTGGTTTAGAAGAAGGGAGGGCAAGTCGCAAACAAAGTGCTGGTCTGCCGGGAGCCCTGGGAAGGGTTGAACTGGAAGCTCCCTCTTGGAAGTGTGTGAAGTGGAAGGCGAGTGTTGGTTTGGAGCTGGCAGATGCCTACGGGCCTGGCAGCAAACATCCTGGGCCAAGTGCACCGCTTGATCAAAGCCCTCCCTCAGGTCCCGGGGGAGTTAAGCAGGAGACCCGGTACAGACGTTCACAAGGAACTATGGACTGTGTTGTCTTCTCAGGGCACACTGAAGGCAGTGGGACTCTCCGCCCACCTGCGGGGCAGGAAGACAGCAGAACTCTTTCCTGCCGGCAACTGCATGATGCTCCACCCGTTGCTTCTCATGCCTGCTCCTCACCCGTCTCCACTTCACTGTCTTACCGGGATGGTGATCTGGGGAAGGGGACTTCCAGGGCTGTCCCCCACACTCTCAGCCTGCCCTGTGTAGTACGTCCCAGGGGCTGTGGAATGGATGAGAGTGCGGCGAGCTCTTTCAGGGAACCTGACGTGCTCTTGGCGCGTGGCCTTGAGCACAAAGGCATTAATGTGGAATTTGGGCCAACAGACAGCACGGCTCTGGAGCCCTCTGTCACTGCTGCTGTCCTAGCTTTGGCTCAAGGTAGCAGCCCCCCTTCTGCCCCTGATGAGAAGACAGGTTCTCTCAGTGACTCGGCTGATGGAAGCTCAAGGTCAGTAGGGGATCCTGAGAAAAAGGTTGCTGAGAAGAAAGTTGGCAGAGAGCTTGAGGCTGCAAATATGTACTCTGAGCCCCTGAGGTTGTTCCAGGACAGCTCTGAAGGTGGCCAGAATGTACACAGGTGTCAAACCAAGCCAGAACTACCTTTAACAACTGGGCAACTACACACCCTGAATTTAAGTGAAGGGTCTGTTCAGAGTGAGCTGCTGGCAGAACCATGGCATAGATGTTCTGGAAATACTGTCAAATGCCATTTAAAAAAGCCACAACTTTCCACTTACTCCAGCGATCACAGTGGCTTGGATCCCCAAGCTACGTTTGTAACAAAGTTAAAACATATCCCCAGCCCCCAGGTTGGTGGTCACTGGGAGGAAGAACAGCAGAGAAACCAGACCTCAGGTGCTGGTAAAGGCCCTGCCCAGGGCAGGGACCTCCAGCCTTCTGGTGGAGGTGGCTTAGATGGGTGTCAGATTGGAGATGTGGGCAGGGATGAGGTGGCTGCGGCCAACTCCCCTGTGTCCAAGACATTCTCATCAGCCTTCAGAGACTCAGCCACTGTGCTCTTGGGGCAAAGTGCAGCACTGCAGCCCACAGCCCACAGCCCTGGCCAGCCTGCTCCCCACCGCAGGAGCTCACTTCCTGCGATTGCAGTCTCCAGTCCCGAACACTCCAGGTCCTCCCCTAGACCCCAGTTCTCTGGGGTCAGCTCTTCCCGGTCTCTTCAGGAGCTGAACTTGAGTGTTGAGCCACCTTCCCCTACAGATGAAGATATACAGGAGCCTAACAGATTGTGGTCCCCACATCCCAGGGGCTCTTCCTCGGGAAAGTCAGAGGTGAGACCGTCTCTGCAAGCTGAGGGCTGCAGTCAGGAAGCCTCATCCTACTTGGACAATAGCACTGCTGATCACAGGCCCCTGCATCCTACCACCCCACCTTACCCAACGTCTTCAGCACTCTCATGCATGCCAACCCCTGATTTCCCAACCAGCTGGATGTCTGATACTCGGGAACAGGCCTGGCAGGAAACGCCAGAGAGACTGGGTGGCCAGGCCAGACCGGAGAAGTGGCAGTCCCAGGTGGACAAAGGAGTGTTGCTCTTTGGCTGCAGTGGCATCAATCCCTACGCCCGGCCCTGGCAACCCGAGGGGCCTGCACGCATTGGCTGGAAGCAGTATGTGTTTATGCGACAAGCCAGTTCTCTGAACAGGGTCTCTAGCTTGCTTGAAAAGTGGGCCAGCTGCCCATTAGGAGAGGGTAACAACCAAGGCAGGAAGGAGAGACAGACAGAGAAGGAGGCTGAAGACCCCAGTCCTGCCAGTAGTTCCTTCTCAGTTCCTGGGTCCCTGCCAAGGGGGCCTCCCTCAGAGCCTGCTGTGCCTGCAGGCCTGGCTGTGCTGGAGGAGGTCAGACAAGCAGAGGCCCAGGGAAGGAGGCCTCACAGCTTGCTGCCTGGCAGCACAGTGCTTCCTTACTATGAGACTTTATCAGAACATGACTGCTCTTCAGGGGCCCCTGGCAGGCCTCTGCGTCAACAAGTGGACCAGTCAGTATCAGACAGGACCACGAGTGAGAGTGAAACACAAGGATTTCATGTAGCATCTCTCTCTGCCGAGCCGGGACATCAGTTGACTGATGAGAGGAAAGTCCTTCAGGCCACACCTCTCTCTGCAGACAACTTTCAACCTCTGCCCAATGCCGAAACTAAAACACGGTTGTGGCATCCCTCACAGACCTCCTCCCATGCTGCCCCTGCTCTAGGCAAAAGCCATTGTCATGGACAACTGAGACATTTGCTGGGAACAGGTGAACAGTTTATATGCCACTCTAGCTCTTGTGAGATGATAGAGAAAATGAAAGAAGCAACCAGAACACCTTCCTCTGCTGATCCTTTGTGCACAGACAATCTTCCTTCTTCAACAGCTGTAGAAGAGAAAATGGTGGTTGTCTTACCTTCTCAGGCCCCTCCTGATGATGCTGGAGCGGTTCCATGCAGGCAAAGTCAGCTAGCTCCATGGGATGCTGCAGAGGGCATGCCTCTTGGCCATCAGGAGAGCATCCCAGCCCGTTGGGAACCTGGAACCCTAGACACCACATGTGGAGGAGATTCAGGTAACTTCTTAGAGGCTCAACAGGGAGGAAAAACAACCTCATTTGAAGGTCAGCATGTGAGCTGTGTTGTACAGGGTTCTGCCAGTCTCTCAAGGCCTAACCAAGACCATGTCCAAAGCCTTGAGGTTTCCACTGGTTTAGAAGAAGGGAGGGCAAGTCGCAAACAAAGTGCTGGTCTGCCGGGAGCCCTGGGAAGGGTTGAACTGGAAGCTCCCTCTTGGAAGTGTGTGAAGTGGAAGGCGAGTGTTGGTTTGGAGCTGGCAGATGCCTACGGGCCTGGCAGCAAACATCCTGGGCCAAGTGCACCGCTTGATCAAAGCCCTCCCTCAGGTCCCGGGGGAGTTAAGCAGGAGACCCGGTACAGACGTTCACAAGGAACTATGGACTGTGTTGTCTTCTCAGGGCACACTGAAGGCAGTGGGACTCTCCGCCCACCTGCGGGGCAGGAAGACAGCAGAACTCTTTCCTGCCGGCAACTGCATGATGCTCCACCCGTTGCTTCTCATGCCTGCTCCTCACCCCTCTCCACTTCACTGTCTTACCGGGATGGTGATCTGGGGAAGGGGACTTCCAGGGCTGTCCCCCACACTCTCAGCCTGCCCTGTGTAGTACGTCCCAGGGGCTGTGGAATGGATGAGAGTGCGGCGAGCTCTTTCAGGGAACCTGACGTGCTCTTGGCGCGTGGCCTTGAGCACAAAGGCATTAATGTGGAATTTGGGCCAACAGACAGCACGGCTCTGGAGCCCTCTGTCACTGCTGCTGTCCTAGCTTTGGCTCAAGGTAGCAGCCCCCCTTCTGCCCCTGATGAGAAGACAGGTTCTCTCAGTGACTCGGCTGATGGAAGCTCAAGGTCAGTAGGGGATCCTGAGAAAAAGGTTGCTGAGAAGAAAGTTGGCAGAGAGCTTGAGGCTGCAAATATGTACTCTGAGCCCCTGAGGTTGTTCCAGGACAGCTCTGAAGGTGGCCAGAATGTACACAGGTGTCAAACCAAGCCAGAACTACCTTTAACAACTGGGCAACTACACACCCTGAATTTAAGTGAAGGGTCTGTTCAGAGTGAGCTGCTGGCAGAACCATGGCATAGATGTTCTGGAAATACTGTCAAATGCCATTTAAAAAAGCCACAACTTTCCACTTACTCCAGCGATCACAGTGGCTTGGATCCCCAAGCTACGTTTGTAACAAAGTTAAAACATATCCCCAGCCCCCAGGTTGGTGGTCACTGGGAGGAAGAACAGCAGAGAAACCAGACCTCAGGTGCTGGTAAAGGCCCTGCCCAGGGCAGGGACCTCCAGCCTTCTGGTGGAGGTGGCTTAGATGGGTGTCAGATTGGAGATGTGGGCAGGGATGAGGTGGCTGCGGCCAACTCCCCTGTGTCCAAGACATTCTCATCAGCCTTCAGAGACTCAGCCACTGTGCTCTTGGGGCAAAGTGCAGCACTGCAGCCCACAGCCCACAGCCCTGGCCAGCCTGCTCCCCACCGCAGGAGCTCACTTCCTGCGATTGCAGTCTCCAGTCCCGAACACTCCAGGTCCTCCCCTAGACCCCAGTTCTCTGGGGTCAGCTCTTCCCGGTCTCTTCAGGAGCTGAACTTGAGTGTTGAGCCACCTTCCCCTACAGATGAAGATATACAGGAGCCTAACAGATTGTGGTCCCCACATCCCAGGGGCTCTTCCTCGGGAAAGTCAGAGGTGAGACCGTCTCTGCAAGCTGAGGGCTGCAGTCAGGAAGCCTCATCCTACTTGGACAATAGCACTGCTGATCACAGGCCCCTGCATCCTACCACCCCACCTTACCCAACGTCTTCAGCACTCTCATGCATGCCAACCCCTGATTTCCCAACCAGCTGGATGTCTGATACTCGGGAACAGGCCTGGCAGGAAACGCCAGAGAGACTGGGTGGCCAGGCCAGACCGGAGAAGTGGCAGTCCCAGGTGGACAAAGGAGTGTTGCTCTTTGGCTGCAGTGGCATCAATCCCTACGCCCGGCCCTGGCAACCCGAGGGGCCTGCACGCATTGGCTGGAAGCAGTATGTGTTTGGCAGTGCAGTAGATACCTCCTGTAGCCAGACACTCCAGGGCCTGATACCATCTAATGTGACCCGGTGCTCGAGTGTGGACAACTGCCTAGAAGACCAGAACTCCCCATTCCACTCCCACCTCAGCACCTATGCCAATACCCGGGGTCTGTCGAGCACACACAGCAGCATTGAAAGTGCCCAAGGTTCACAAGAGGCCTGGGAGGTGTGGGATTCCCCATTTGCCTTGGGGAACCCCCGTATCCTGACTGGCCTGGAAGGAACAGCCCCCACAAAGGGTCCTGACAAGAGAGCCCAGTTCCCAGGAGCCCCAGGTGAAGCGGGCTGCCCAAGGTGTGAGCCCCCCTTGGCTGAAGAATGTGCTGCCGGTCCAGTGGATGATGAGATCATGCTGCTGTATCCATCAGAGGCAGGTAGCCTTGAGGGACAGTGCAGGAGGAGCACCTTGGAGCAGGGCACACAGACCCTGGGCTGCAGTCTTCACTGGAGTTACACCAACATCTCTCTTGCTCAGCTGGAAGCCAGCGCAATGCCAGTCTGTGATCTGGCCTCCTGGACCAGCATGCACAACCTGTCTCTCCACCTCTCACAGCTCCTGCACAGCACCTTAGAGCTGCTGGGGAGCCTCTCCCAGCCAGGTGTGGCCGGAAAGGAGCAGAATGCCAAGAGGGAGACCCCATGTGAGGCACCACAGGCCCTCATGATTGACAGCTGTACTCAGACCACCGTGGATGAGGTCATCCAGACTGATCTGGCCTCACCACCTCTGCCACTCCAGGACCCAAAGGCCAACCCTCAGGAGGTCAGTGCCATCCTTGAAGAGCTGGGCTCAAATGTCTCCACTATGTCTCAGGAGCAGGGACATGTCTCAGGGATGCTTCAGAAGAAAGAGGCAGAAGAAACAGCATGGGAAATGGCAGGGCCCCCAGATCTTCAGGAAGAAAGCACACCCTGCAGGCCCCAGAGCCCTGCAGGCCCCTCATCCCACTTGAAGTTTCTAAGAGACCCCTTTGGGAAGAACCTCCCTGCTGAAGGCCCCCTGTCGCCCCACTCTCAGCCTGAGGAGCCCTCCTGCCTGTCTGTCAGCCTTAGCAACCCTCACTGCCCAGAGCCCTGCCCCAGTGCTGTGGGGTCCATCAGGAAACTGAGGGTCCAGAAGGAGCCAGGCCCCATGAGTGCCCTGGTGGTGGACAGGGCCTCCTCCCCAATCCTGACACTTAGTGCCAGCACCCAAAGGTTGTGGTACCCCTCAGATCACCCTCTCGAAGGCCACCAGAAGCTTGTCTCCATCTCAGATCTTTCCCTTGATGTGCCCAGGTCTTCAATGGATAATTATTCTCAAACCCCTGATGAACCAGGCGGCTCCCAGGGAGTGGGGGCTCCATGTGGAGAAGGCACAAGTCCCTTAGAAAGAAGTGATGGTAGGTCCTTCCTTGAGGTGAGTTCCCTGGGCAGTCCGCAGCAGAGCCCGACACTCCAAGTTCATTTCTTAGAGCAGCCCCCTCAGCAGCTTCAGCCCAGGGCTAGTGCCTGGATGCAAAGCAGACTGCCCCCTCCACCACCGATGAGTAGGAGCCAGAGGCTGGCTGATGGCTCTGTGCCCAAAGGCGTGGCTTCCCTGGGGCTTGGCCCACAGAGCAGTAGGGGGCTGAGTCACTGGCAGAGCAGGACAGAAGATGGGGATGAGAGTGCAGTGTCCCCAGTGGAACTCCAACCCACTGTGGACCTTTCCTCTTCGTGGGGAGGCTGCCAATGCCCCAGGCCCTGCCCTGTGTCTGACCTGAGTGATACTGTAGGGCTCCAGGCTTCTACCTCAGGCCCGACCGCGGCCTGCCAACCTGAGGGGATGCTGTGCCGCAGCTCTCAGACGTGCATGGCCCCAGAGCCCCAGCATCACAGCCTGAGGGACCTTCCAGTGCATAACAAATTTAGTAATTGGTGTGGGGTGCAGGATGACCCTCCTGGGGGGCTAGGTGTGGTGGAGCTGCTGAGGACCAGACGTGATCTCCGCTCTGTAGAGCAGAAGCCTTCACAACCTCCTGACAACCAGAGCCAGGATCCTGAGTGGTCCCTGAGGGAGCAGGTGCCCCTGCAAGTTGGGCCCCAGCACCTCTCTCTCAGTGTGGAACTCACAGAAGCAAAACTGCACCGCGGCTTCGGGAAGGCAGATGCGCTGCTGCAGGTGCTGCAGAGTGGGACGGGGGAGGCGCTCGGGGCTCACGAACCCGCACAGCCCACCTCAGAGGAGCTCTTTGGCCGGTAAGACCCCCAGCCTGGAGGTGGGGCAGGGCGGGACTGAGAGGAAAGGGAGCTGGAACAGGCTGGTAGCTGACTGTGCCCTCTCCCCTTGCTCTGCTCTAGGGTCGTCCAGGGTGAATCAAACAGGGGTCAGAGAGATATCTTAAGATAGAGAAGGGCATTCAGGACCCATTACAGTGAATCAGTAAATGTTTTTGTTTTAGGCAAAAACAAACCATTGAGATCCTCTGGAAAGAGCGAGCTGAGCGACTTAAGAGCTTCCACGGGACACGAAGCCTCAGCCTGCAGAAACAGCCGGGCCTTCTATCCGGCAGGGGGCTCCCCACCCGAGACCTTGACTTACCCAGCAGGCGCCGAGAGTATCTGCAGCAACTGAGGAAGGATGTTGTGGAGACCACCAGGTAAAGGGTGGACCCAGAAGCCTGGAGCGGGCAGGTGGGGCAAGACGGCTGTGGGGGCAGGGCCTGGATTCTAGGGTCCAAGAGAGTGGAGGCTACGGCTTCCTTTGACAGGAGTGACTCCAGGAATGTGTCCTATGTGCCTGTGGGCAAGTGGAGGCAGCTAATGGACTGGGGCACAGGGAAAGAGAGGATGCAGGGGGTGGGGCCGCAGGGAGAAGTCATGGGAGAGGATGGGCAGAGTGGCTGGGATGCGCTGTGTGAGACTGCAGGCCTGAGCCTCAAAATGGGAGGTCAAACCAAACTTTCAGACCCTGTGGACAGAGAGGTGGTGTTGAGGGGGCCTGGGATGAGCAGGCCAGGGCCATTCCCCACTGACTGTTAGAAAGCATCTCCACCCCTCCGGTCTTCCCTAGGAACCCAGGGCCAGCATTAAGGTCTGCTCGCCCACCCTCTGACATAGAGCTGATGCTACAAGAGTATCAGCAGGCCCGTGAGGAGGCCAAGGTGGAGATCGCTCAGGCCCGGGACCGACTGCGGGAACAGACTGAGCAGGAGAAGCTGAGAATCCACCAGCAGATCATCTCCCAGCTACTGAAGGTGGGGAGTAGGGCAAGCACCTGATTTCAGGGCAAGTCTGGAGCCTGGGCAGACCTCATACTGGGTCAGCCTTCGCTGGGGCTGCCTCTGAGTCTTAGATGTAGCATTTGGGGAGGGCATCAGACCCCCAGTCGTAGCTAAAGCTGTGTTTCTTCTCTTCAGTTGTCATCCTCATCAGACCAGTTCCTGTCCCAGGCCAGCGGCTGGGAGGTGGCGGCTTTGGTATATAGTTGGGGTGGACTTGGGGGCCATGTGGGTGTGAGGCTGAGGCTGGAGGCACTAGGAGGTGATGGGAGCTGGGGAAGTGAGAAGGGGTGGTCTCAGGGGCAGAGGGGGTGTGGGTAGCAAGTGTGTACCAGAAGCTGGTCAATGGTAAGCTGTCTTTTTCAGGAAGAGGAAAAGCTGCACACCCTGGCCACCTCCAGCTCGCTGTGCACCAGCTCCAGTGGGAGCCTCTCCTCTGGTGTCACCTCTGGCTACAGTAGCAGCCAGGCTTGGCCAAGCCAGCACCAGTGCCTGGACAATGTGAGTAGGCAGCGCTGGGGGCAAGCCGGGGGGCCAGGATCCCCAAAGCAAGAGGCAGGACAGGAAGTTCGCCCTCCCCGAGGCCACCGCTGACATGCGCCCTTCTACTGCACCATGGCTTTGCTCTTCCCTCTGGTTCTGTCTCCCTCCCTCTCCCCCTCTCCCTCTCCCTCTCCCTGCAGGTTCATTTATTCAACAGGTGTTTATTCTGTAGGCACTATTTTAGTCCTAGGGATACAGCAGTGAGCAAAACTGTCCCTGTCCTTAGACTATTAGAAGGATAAATATTGAACAGCTTACTTTATGATTAATTGTTGTTGCAATAAGTTCTATGAAGAAGGGGTGCTAAGTCGGCCTAAAACAGGGGACCTGACCCAGTCTGGAAGGTCAGTAAAGATGTTCTGAAAAGTGTTTAAACCGAGACCAGAATGGTGAGAGGTACTTAATAAAAGCTTAGTGCTGGTCATGTGGGAGAGATGTTTGGCAGCCTTCCAGGCAGAGGGCCCAGCACTGAGGCCTTGAGGGAGGAAGTGTTTTGGGAACTAAAAAGCTAGTGTGGCTGGAAAGTGAAGAGTGAGACAGGAGAATGACGTGAATCAGGACTGAATGGGCAGGATCGTGTCAGCTCTGCTGGGAATTCCGGCTGGCCTTCTAATACGTCTGATTGTGTTCTCTCCCAAAAGCTGCTGAAAAGCCGTAAAGCAGGGGAGCAGTATGGAGAGATGGCCAGAGAAGGGGGCAGAGCAGCTCGGGGCGGCCCTGTTGGTGGCGTGGCCCAGCTGAGAGAGACAGTGACTGCTGGGTCCAGGCCCTGCCGGGTGTGGGGGCCACGAAGCCAGAGCGTCCGACTGACTCCAGCTGACAGGATGTTAGAGGAGGGGGAAGGGAGACTTTGGCTGGAGTAGCTGAAGGCGTGGTGGTGGTGACACTGACAGGGCCCTGGAGAGGACAGGTTTTGTGGGGACGGTCATGAATACAGCTTTGTACTTACTGAGTTGAAAGTGTCTGTGAGAAATTCAAGGAGGCAGTTGGAAATACAAATCTGGAGCTCAGAGGTTGGATCTGAGAGATGTAAAATTTGAAATTCATTTTATAAGTAAAACCTCATGTAGTACAATACACGTAGTAGAAAAGACCAGTATTCCAATAGTCACAAAGGACTATAATGCCAAGTTCATCTTTCAGACTCCTATTTACCCTCTCCAGAAGCAATCTTCCATCCCAGTTTGGTGAGTACTTCCAGAGATACTCTGGAAACATTTTGTAATATAGTCTATAGGAATGTGGGTATGTTTTTCCACAGTATGTGCATGGAAGTGTCTCTATCTACACTGTCACTTTACTGTTTTTCCTTATGAATAAATACCCTTGGATCTCATGGCATATCAGTAAGCCTAGTGCTGACTCATTCTTTTTGAAAGTTGAATAGTGTGTCTCTTTTTTATTGCGTGTTTTTAAATGTGACATTTTGTATAGAAAAAATACATACACTTATTAAAGTACATAGAGAAATATCCCCTCATCTTCCTGGTCCCTTTCTCTCCCCCCACCCAAGGAAAACAGTAGTGTTTTGGGGGATTCCTCCTAGAATATCTGTGCAAAATACAGCACATTATGCCCCTGTTTGTACTTTGTATTTTTTCTCTCAGTCTATCTTGGAGCTCTTTATACATGAGCCTGTAGACCTCCCTCTCTCTCTGTCTCGCTTGCTCTCCAATTGCTGCATGGCGTTCCATTGTAAAGATGCACTGTACTTCATTTAACCAGTTCTCCATCTTGGGTTGTTTTCAGTTTTCTGCTGTTACAAACAGGGCTGCAGTGAATAACCTCGTGCATGTAGCATTTCATTCTTGTGCAGATATATCTCTGGATCTATCCCAGAAGTGGGAGATGGGCCTGTACAAAGAGTGTATGCATTTGAAATTTTGATTGAATATTGACACATTTTCCCTCACAGATGTACCAATTTAAACTTGCATCAGCAATCCACCTTCCCTCACACTCTCACCAACATGTTATCAAATGTTTAGATTGTTGCTGAGCTGTCTGTTTGTATCCTTTGCTCATTTCTCTCTTTTTTTTTTTTACCATTTTCTGAGAGTTCTTTTTAGTATTAGCAAGGTAGTCCTTTGCCTGATGTGAATTATGCATATTTATCCCAGTTCTTTGTTCTCTTTTGACTTTGCTTATTGTGTTTGCAGCCATTCAGAAAGTTTTATTTATCAGTTTACTTTTAATAGGGTCTGTGTTATGAGTCATAACTAGAAACACATTCTCCATTCCAAAGTTAAAAAAAATTTCTCCTGTGGTTTCTTCTAGAAACTATATGGTTTTTTTTTTCCATACTTAAATCTTTGATCCATTTGGGATATATATAGAGAGAAAGAGGTATGGATCCAACTTTATTCTTCCCAGATGGCTACCCAGTTGTGCCTGTAACATTTGTTAGTTCATCTAGACAGTTCATCTTGCTTCACCAGTTTTAGACATCAGCTTTTCTTGTACTAATGCTTAGGGTATATTCTACCACCCATTGCTCCTCTTTTTTTGAGTATTATTTCTTGTTTATTTTTATATGAAATATAGGATCAATTTTTCTAGACCAATTATAAAAATTTGTCACAGTTATAATGGGATTTATAAATTGACTTGGGGAGAAATCCCACCATATATATTGTGGAATTTCCTAACCAAAAAGTAGGTTCAAGCCTTCTTGATTTTTAGGTTTTCAAACATAAAATGTTCTTCATATGGCTCTCAAATTTCTGATTTATTCCTAAGTGTTTTATCTTTTTTGTTAGTGTTATAAATAGGTTATCTCTTCCCTTATATATTCTACTTGGTTATTTTGTAGGTATGAAGGCCATTGATTGCTGTGTATTTTGTGTCCATATTGTGTTTTGGTCTTTCCTCTAGATCTGCACTAATGTAGTAGCAATTAATATAGGTAGCTATCTTAATTTAAATTTAAATTAATTTAATTAAATTTTTCTTCTTAAATACCACTAGCCACATTTCTCATGCTCAGTAACTACATGTGGTCAGTGGCTGCCAGATTGTATAGCCCTGCTCTAGTTTTTCAGGTATACAGCCACTTCATCTGAAAATAGTGATCATGTTACCATCTCCTTTCTAATTTTGTACCATTTTCTTCCTCTTTCCTAATTCAATTACCTAGTATCCCCAGCATAAATAAAATAACAGTGATGAGAATATGCCCGTCTTCTTTCAGCTTTACTGGGAATACTTCTGGTGTTTCCCCACATAAGCTGGATGTAGTTTTTGAGCTGAGATACATATATTTTTGCAATACTAAGGGTATTCATCTATTCCAACTTATATTCTTATCTAAAATGGTTATTTCAGAGGCTTTGGAGATGATCATTTGATTGATCAACTAGATAATATTGAACCATTCTTACATTCTGGAAGCAATCTTATAACACCTTATAAACTTACGCATATGTTGTATTATTATTTTAATGGATTTTCAGAGCCTATTTGTTAATATTTTACTCAGGATTTTGAATCAATATTTATGAGGGTTTTTTTCCTGAATTTAGGTTTTTGCAGTATGTTTCAGGTTTTGACATCACTGTTATATTCTTTTTATAGAGAAAAAGGTGAAAGATTTTATATTTCTCAATGTTCACAAATAGTTGCAAAATTAATGGAAACTTTATACCTATTAAACTGTCAAAACATAGCCAGATATTGGAACCTTTATAGGTTCTTATGACCCAGCAATTTTTATATAGTTTATGAGGGAATGTGTATGAAATTGTTTATTAAAGCATTATTTGAAGTGGCAAAGAGTTGGAAGCCATTTGAGAAGCCAACTGTCACTGGGAGAATGGATAAGTAAAATGTGGTCAATGTACCCACAGAATACAGTGAAAGAGTGATAGTATTAGATAGACTCCTAGGACAACTACTGAATGAAAACATTATAAAACAGAGTGAGGTATAATACATTGCTACATGTTAAAAGGCATCCAGAGGATCATGGGAAGATGGCGGCATGAGTAGTCAGTGGAAATCTCCTCCCAAAAACATATATATTTATTAAAATACAATAAATACAACTATTCCTAAAAGAGACACCAGTGGATACAGTACAACAGCCAGGATACATCTACATCTGTGAGAACTCAACATCACACAAAGGGGGTAAGATACAAGCCATGGCCAGGCAGGACCCGAATGCTCCCCCACCCTAGAACCCGGCGGGAAGAAAGGAGTCGGAACAGGGAGGGAGTGAAAGCCCAGGACTGCTAAACAACCAGCTCTAGAAATCCGCACCCGGAACGCAGACACACGGTGCACAGGGTGCTGGATATTAGAGAAACGGAAAAGCAAAACCTGCAGGCAGGTCCCTGCAACCGGCACCCCTGAGACAAAGGAAAAGCGAGTGCTTTTTGCAAGCCTTAAAGAGACAGGGACCCCACAGCTGAATGAAGTCGTCCCGGCACACTTAGCAGCAGCTGGGAATCCCAGGGAACTTGAGGTGCCCTAACCCCCTGGGCAGCAGTGCAGCTCTGAAGCCCCTCACGGCACTAAGCAGCCTGTCAGTCGTTGAACCCCAACTGGCGTGGACGCCGACACACTGGCCCAGTAGTGGGAGAGTGGCAGCAGTGACCGATGGGACTGGGAGCAGTCTGCGTGTGCCAGCAGCACCAGAGGGGACCGGGAGCGGCTCGTGAGATGGCCGCGGCAGCGACCAACCAGCCCAGGAGCAGCCTGTGCACACTGGCGGCAGCAGCGACGGACCTGGGAGAGGTCCGCACGAGCCCACGGTGGCGGCGACCGAGCAGCCCAGGAGCAGCCTGCATGTGCCATGGCAGTGGCACGAGAGGGGCCCGGGAGAGGTCTGCGTGAGCCCACAGCGGCGGCTACCGAGTGCCCCGGGAATGGCCCGCGCATGTCAGCGGCAGCAGCACCACAGGTGCACAGGAGAGGCCTGCGCGCCCCTGCAGTGGTGCAAGAGGGAGCAGCCATGC